GCGTCCAGAGGAAGCAGAACTCGCCGGTAGATATGGAGGCATCATCCGTGTTTCCTTTGAGAGAGGAAGGGTTGGCCATTCCAGGCAGAAGGAACAGCGGGTGCCCAGGGACCGAGGCATGACTCCACTCGGACTCCCAGCCATTCTCCAGGCCAAGGGTAGAGTTCAAGGGGCAGGGTGTGGCGGGAGATAAGGCCGGACTCAGGCAGGAGCCTCATGTTCATGGAGCTCTTACTCCAGTCAGTGGAAGATGAGAATTTTGTGGCGTTTGAATACTAATAAATACAAACCTCTCCTCGCCTAGTCGTGATTCTGTTAGTCTGCTGCCGACTCATTTCTCAAGGCCATGGGTTAGCGACAAAATGATACCAAAGTGGCCTAAGTCCCAGTTACGAAAGAATGCAATACTGAAAACTTTCATAAAGGATTCTTTCTAAATCCTTTGAAATCTAACTCCTGGGACTTCCAGGGTTACTGGAGTTAATAAGAATATATCCAGTAAGTGGTAAATATTTTTCTAATAGATGTATCATCAGTGATGGGCTTTCGGCAGAAGCGTGAGCAGACTTCCAGCTCAGGAAGATCCCCTGCCTGTAGGAGGGAGGACTGATGAGAACGAGAGTGGAGGCAGGCAGGCTGGGAGGCTGCCCCGAGGTCACAGGCAGAGGGTCTGAGCCCAGGCCACAGCGGTGGCGGGGCGGGGGGGGGGGGGGAGGATCTTTAGTAACCTGCTCAGGAGGTGAGACTCGCAGGATGGGTGATAGATAGGCTGGCAGTGGGGGCTGAGGGGGGACTCGGGGATGGTCCCAGTCCCTTACTTGGGTGCTTGGCTGAGTGTTGGTGCCTTTGCTGAGCTGGGACCGTAGGCAGAGAGGCTGCTTGTTTAGAGGAAGATACTGAACTTCGGCGGAGTTCTGAGGTGTCTCCCAGCATCAAGCATGGTGCCTGGCGGACAGGAAGCTCTCTGAGTTGAGCAAGTGAGTAAGCAAGTGAGATCCCACAGCCTGGAAGCCTCACAAATCAAGATGCCCTCTGTCCTCGCCCACCCCCGCCCCCACCCCTGAGTCCTGGCTCCTGGGGTCCCAGCCAGGATGACTTTGTCAACGCAGTGCTCTGGCAGCCAGAGCTTTCTTTGTGCAGAAGTGTTGGTTATGTCCCCCAAGTTCCCAGGGGTGGGTGGCCTGGCCTCTCCATTCCTCCTTCGGCCCCCCTTCCCGGGGAGTGGCTTTACTCTAGCAGGCGTCCACATGGCCTGGCACTGAAAAAGCCCCAGGCCCAGCCCCAGCCAGGATGCAAAGTGCTCTCAGGACAAGCTGTACTGGGTGCCGCAGAGGACAAGCCACTGAGGATGTGGCTGGCGGGGGGGGGGGGGCGTGCGGGGGGGTGCTCGTTTCCCTGCTGGAGCTTCCGTGTACACTCCCCCAAGGGGCTGCGCTCCGCCCACCCCCCTGCTGTGCTCACACCCAGCGGGGAGACGCTGTGGGAACGAAGGGGCCTGGCTCGAGCTGGGCAGGAGCAAGGTCTTGGCTAGGCACCCGGGCCGGGGCTGGGACTGGGGGAGGCAACGAAGAGATAGGCTGTTCTGTTGTGAAAGAAGCTGAAGGACCAGGAGGAGGCTGAGACCCATAGAATGGAATCGCAGGGGATCTGGAGGGCTGGTTCCCATGAGGCCGTGGCCTGGGGCTCACCCCACAGGCACCTGGTCCCTGGGCTCCTCCGGTGGCGCTGGTGGGTGGGGAAGGCCCCTGGCTAGGCTCCAACCCCTGGGCTCCAGCCTTCCAGGAAGGCGCTGGGGAGTGGCAGGGAGATCTCCTGGGACGGCCTTGGGGGAGCCAAGGGGTGGGGTGGGGTGGGACACAGACTGGGCTCCCAGACCACAAGACACGCCATCACAGACCCTAACACGCACGGGGGCCCTGACCCCCTGCCCGTGAGGCCCACCGCTGCACCGGTGTCTCTGTCCTCCCCGCTCCCTCCTGCCTTTCTGCCCTGGTTTCAGTTTTGATGCCTGTCTCCCTTGTTCGACGGTGAGACCCAGAGGGCCAGCAGCCTGGCCCACCCCAGGCACTAAGGAGGGTTTTTAAATAAAATGAAGTACACGGACTGGGTAGGTTCATGAAGAGAGACCAAGGCAGGCCTCAGTTTCCCCCTTTGCTGAAGCCAGCCAGAGGTCCGAGGCACGGAGTAGGGTGGAGGAGGTAAGAGAGCAGAAGAGCAAGAATGGGGCGGGTCCCTGCTGGGTGGGAGGGGACAGGAGGAAGAACGGGATGAGTCAGGCCATGCCCGAAGGAATGCCCAGCCCGCCAGGCAGTGCCCGAGGTGGTCCCAGTGCCCCGTCCCCGCTGACGAGGCCCGCGTCCGGCCCCCAGGGCACGCACGATCACGCACGCGCACGTGCGGTGCAGACACACACTGGCACACGCGGGCCCACGGTGCACCTCCAAGGACCTTTTCCCAGCCACAGAGGCCAGACTCCCCTAGGCCGTGGGTGTCCTCTCCTTCTAGCACCTGATGCGGACCTGGGGCCACCGGAGAGGTTCCCAAAGGCAGATGGGAGAGGGAGCCGCGCCCCAACGCCAGAGGCAAGCAGAGGAAGCTGGGGGGTCTCTGGCTAAGCCCAGGATGCCTGTCGGCGCACACAGGGCTGCAGGTCCAGACTTCGGTGTGGGGCAGATGGTGGCCTATCAGGTCTCCCCACCCACCAGAGGCCAAAGAGCACAGGCGTGGCTGCTCCCGGCCACAGCCGCAGTGCCGCAAGGCCCGCCTGCTGGGCCAGGGCCCGCCTCACACAGCGCCTCCGCCTGAGCACTAGCAGAGAGGACGCTGAACCCAGCGCCAGAGCCGATCGCCAGCCCAACAGCAGCCCCTGCGGGGGGACCAGCCACCGGGCCTCACTGGAAGCCAGGTAAGGCCTGGCCCTCGGGAAGGTCAGGGCCCAGATCGCTGCCAGCACCCGGGGTGGTGGGGCAGCTTGGTGGCCTCCCGAGCCAGGGCGTCCAGCCCGCTCCCAGCTGCCCCCGGGAGGAGCAGCCCCAACATGGGCCATGGGGCCCCGCCGTGGGCTGGCCCGCTGGCTGGGAAAGAAGCAAGGGGGCTGGTGCTCCAGAAGAGCCCCCCAGTGGCCAGGGTGGGACATCCCTTCCCTACTCCAAGCCCTTAAAGTCAGGGGTGAGTGGGGCAAACTGGGCTGCCACAGCCCTCCTTGCCCTGCCAGGGGCAAAACAGCTCAAAGCCAGCCCCCTTGCCTCTCCTGTTGCCGGGACCTGGAGCAGCAGAAGCTGCAGCGGGAACCCATGGGGATGCACGGGGACCCCCCTGGCATCGGGGGGAATAGGGAGCCGTGCTGACCGAAACGGAGCTTATTTTCTCTGCTTCCTCCTTTTCCACATCTACACACAGGAAACGTTGCCACAGGGGAAGGGAGGGGCTAGAGAGGGAGCGCTGGCTTCCGGCACCCCTTACCCTTGGAGAGGAAAGGGGTTCTCCTGAACGAGGAACTCAGAGGCCCAGGGCATCCCCACAACCCCTTCATGGTTCACTACAGCTGATTTCTGCACACTGAGTCATCGTATTTTCCTAATAGTGCCAATAAATAGGGGTGTGAGCTGCTCTCTTTCTTACACTTTGCCCGGGATACTCAGGGTTTCCGGATGACACGGGCATGCCTCGCCGATGCGTGGACACCCACAAAGCTATTCCTGATGCACAGGCACCTCATTCAAACAACACATACCCTTGACCTCAGTGAGGTCCCACCTCGCCCCGCACCTGCGCGTACACGCGCACATGTGTGCCCCGCCCATCTCCACATCTCCATCTCCCAGGCCCCTCTGTGCCAGGAAGGCACCAGGGAGACCGCAGGGGCAAGACAAGCCCGTCCCCAGGAGATCGCACCCCAGGGACAGAGGCACACATATAAATGACTCCAGCATGGAGCCGGCAGCCAGGCAGGGCTGGGCCTATTTTCTCCATTAAACACACTTGTGACCTCAGGCCAGTGACCCGCTTTGAGCCTCAGTGTCCTCATCTGGGACATGGGACAATAAAGGTGCCCCAGGCGAGAACACTTTGAGGATTAAACAAGCTGATGAAGGTGAAGTCTGAAGAGCAGTGCTGGGCACAAGGAAGTATTTACGAGCGGTGGCAGTGAGAAATCAGTGACCTAACGTTCCTTGGGGCCTTGGCTCTGGCTTGCGGCGCTAACTGGGGGCTGTTGCTGTTAGGGACAGACAAGGTCCTTGGTGGCCGCAGGAGGGCACTCTGGATACCGTGGAGTCGGGTAGTCAAGGAAGGCATCAAGGAGGAGGTGATCCTTGGGCTGGAATTTAGGGTTGAGCAGGAGGGGCTCTGGGCAGAGGGGTCATAGGATGGGGAGAGAAAGAGACCAGAGACTTGGTAAGACATTCAAGGGGGCACAGATCGCTGACGCAGGGAGCCCCATAAGTGTGCACGCACACACGCATGCGTGCATGCGCACACCCCTCTGGAGCAGTTCCCCAGCCCAGAAGCCAACACTGCCCTCCTCCCGATTTGCAGAATTGAAACAGAATCGGGCAGAGGCTTGCTTTGGCAGGAAGGCGGCTCACCCTAATGCCTTGCTGCAGAAGCTGGGTGCTCCGGCACCTTGCACACTCAGGCCCAGGACAGGATCTGATCACAGGTCCCTGTCCGTCCAGCTTTCCTGGGCCCATTGAAACGTGCTTTACTGACCAAATAAGGGGAGGCCAGGAGCCTGCCTTGGGGCCTGCTGGGCCCAGCCAAGACGGAGGGTCCCTCAAGGAGCACACAGCTGGCGGCGGCTCTGGAAAGGCCCCTGGAACCTGCGCTTGGGGTCGGGCCCAGAGGCCCCAGGAGAGGTCCTGGTCCAGGCCTCAGGCCAGGTCAGGGACAAGGCAAAGCAGCGGCAGCCGACCCACTCTGTCCTGCGGTTCCTCTCCCCAGCTGACAGCTGTCCCTTTGCTTCATTTTGGATTCCAGGGAGTCACCTCAGCAGCGTCACCATGTCCCGGCCCAGCAGCAAAGCCATTTACAGTAAGCTCTCGCTTGCCTCCCGGAGCTCCCTGAGCCCCAGTCCTCTGGTCTCTCCCTGCCCATGCCCCGCCCCCCGGCCTCCCACATTTGCCTGTGTCTCACCTGGCTCTTCTGCCCCCGCCCCACCCCTCGCGGCGCCTGCAGTGCACCGGAAAGAGTACTCCGGCAGCCTCGCCTCTGAGCCCATCTACCTGCAGCACAGGGTGGAGGTGAGTGACCTCACAGTTTCCTGACTCCGCCCAAGTTTTCCTGTGTGCCCCATGCCCTGCCCCGAACCAGGCAAAGCCAACAGCCTGCCCCAGGCTGATGGGGGACACAAGGTCAGGCCCAACGAGCCTAACCGAGCATCTGCTAAGCACCAGGGAGGCCAGGCAGCTGGGAATGGGCAGGGAGGCAGGGCAGGAGGTTGAATGGACAGATGTCCTATCCCCAGGCAGGGAAAAGCAGAAGACAGGTAGGTCAGGAGGCCTGGGCATCCACTCCCACCCCTGCCTGTCTCCTGCCCCACCCCTGCCACAGCCACGGTCCCCAGGGAACCACTCTTTGCCCTGGATCTGGCTGGGCCTGGGCAGAGGAAGGGATGTGTGAGGTCACATGTCCCTGCGGGGAATGTGTCTGGGCCAGAGCTGCTTGGAGGCTCTGGCCCCGCCTGGGAGGAGGACACTGGCGTTGTGACATCCAGTTGCCGGAAAGGCAGCGTACACAGCCAAAGCAGCACAGACTAGAAGGACGGCGGTGGGGGGCAAACACCGGCATGCACCGCCTCAGGGTGGAAGCAGGCTCAGGGCTGTCCCCAAGGAAGAGGAGGAAGAAGAGTGAGGGACGCGGCTGATGGCCTGGGGGTTCCACAGGGTGGCTGGGCTGGGGGTTCCACAGCACACCTGGCGGGGTCAGGGGTGGGAAGTGGCTTCATGTAGAGCAAGAGGAGGCAGGTCCAGGATGCCAGGGCATTTGCCTGTGACATCAGGGGCCCCGAGCACCCCTGCAGCTTTCAGGTGAGGAGCTGGGACCTGTGCAGAGAGCAGGGCCGCGCGGTCGGGGACAGGAAGCAGGTGGCGCTCCCCCAACAAGGGCCTGGAGCAGGTGGTGAGGGGCCAAGACTGTGGCCTGTGGAGGCTGCGTTGGAAGGAGGGGGGGGTGTCCAGGAGGAGAGAGAATAACAGCGAAAACCTGTGGGACCACCAGCCCAGCTGCGTGAAGGGCCTGAGGGGAGCCTGGGACCCCTGCAGGCCTCACTGGGCAGGAGTCGGGGAGAAGGCGGGGAGGGGCCTTCCTCCGAGACAGAGACGCCGCCAGGCGCAGGATGAGCAGACACAGGGAGGGGTCTGGGGTCTGGGGTCTGGGGTCAGCGTGAGCAATGGTGTGGAGGCAGGAATGCTAGGTCGGGGAGGAGTGCCAGGCTGTGGGAGTCGTTCCCAAAGAAGCCGAGGAAGCCAGGGACGGAACGCGAGGGTCCTCTGCCCCTCCCGCAGGGGCCCCCACTTTTTTTGTTGCGTGCCTGGAGCCCCCGCCTGCCACCACCCAGCCCCCTCAGCGGGCCTGGGCTGTTAAAGGCCATGCCTGTCCTTTCTCTAGGGTCCTACACCCTCTCATGCAGCCGACTTGAGGGCCTTGTCCTAGCCAGCATGTGGCGCGCACACGGGCCCCGGGAGGTTGTGTTATGGGACTGCCTGGGACCTGCCCCACAGGAGGCCAGGCCACGTCTGCCTCCTCTGCTGCCCTTCCCCCACCCAGCCCACCCCCGCCACCTGCCGCGACCTCCCTCTGCAACCCTGCTCCCAGTCCCAAGCCTCCTCCTCTCTCCTCAGCACCTGATGACGTGTAAGCTGGGCATTCGGGGGGTCCAGGACCCCAAAGACGCTCTGCAGAGGCTGCAGGAGATGGATGCTCAGGGCCGGGTGTGGAGCCAGGACCTGTTCCTGCAGGTCAGAGATGGCTGGCTCCAGCTTCTGGACATCGAGACCAAGGTCAGCCCTCCCGCCGTGCCCTGCCACGGGTCATAGTCCCCCCAGGCTGTGGGAGAGCAAGCCCCAGCGTGAACCCCCCCACCCCCATGCCCCAACACCAGCCGCCCTTCCCATGTGCCATGCGCACCTGGGCCTAGGAAAAGACGGGGCACAGGGGTGCAGGGGCCCAGGTGTCGGGGCGTTGGCACTCCAGCCCCAGGCCACTGGAGGGCTGGGGCGACCCAGGTCAGGAACTCCCAAGAGCCACCCTGGCTCTCAGGGACCTCACAGCCAACCACCTCCCCGGCCCAGGAGGAGCTGGACTCTTTCCACCTGGACAGCGTCCAGGCCGTGGACGTGGCGCCCAACGCCGGCTCTTACAACAACGTCCTGGCCGTCACCGTGCGGGAGTCGGGCCCACCAGGCAGCAGCACTCTGCTCTTCCAGTGCCAGGAAGTGGGGGTGAGTGGCCTGGGCTGGGGTGCAGAGGAGAGTGGGTGTGGGGCCCAACAGCCATCAGCCGCCCCCAACTCCCACCCCCCTGGAACACACGCACAGCTGCCTAGTTGCTGCTGCTTCCCACAGGCACAGCGACTGAAGACCAGCCTGCAGAAGGCCCTGGAGGAGGAGCGGGAAGGCAGGTAGGCAGCTCCTGCCCCCGCCCACCTGCGGGGTCTCAGCGCTTGGGCCTGGGTAGGCCCGTCCTGGCCCCGCATCTGGGGGAGCCCAGGAGCCTGGGCCTGGAGCTGCGGAGGGGCCAGGCTGGAGCCAAGGGCATGAAGAAGTGGTGAGGGCCAGGCGCAGGAAGCACTGGGGACTATCCCGGGAGCCTGGCATGGAACCTGCAAGGGCTCCGAGGGAGGCCCATACGGCAGCGTGGAGTCAGGCAAGGTTCCAGAGGGAGACCTGGAGAGACATGTGGGCAGCGCCTCTGTCCCAAGAACATTGTCAGACCCGTGTCCTCACCCTGTGCTCAGCAGACCCCTATTTGGAGCCCCTCACCAAGGCCAGGACAGGTGGCAAGGGACTCCTCCAGAAAGGCCACTCCCCAAGGAGCGGACACGCCCCCTGGAGCAGGGACCGCCTCCCGAAGAGCCCTACAGGATGGCCAAAGAGCACAGTAAGTTTGGGGTGTGCAGACAGATGGAAGGAGAAGGTTTAGGTCAAAGATCAAAGAGGCCATGGTCCCCTTCCGTTGCAGACACACAACCATCCCCAAGGCCCCTGTCACGACATCCCAGTGCCCGAGAACCGAGAGCCTTCCCTCCGCCTCCTCCAAGGCAGGCCCCATCCCCCCCGGACCCAGCAAGGGACGAGGTAACTGCGGAGTGTCTGGGCTTGCTGAGCCTTCTGAGGCTGGTGGGAGGGAGGACACTATCGCTTCCCTCCCGCAAGGAAACCAGGTCCCAAGATGGCCAAGCCAGGCCTTGGGCTGAGGGGGGTCAAGGAGGCTCGGGCAGGGGCAGGGGCAGCGTTGGGTGTTCCAGGGTGGGCCTCGTTGTCCGCCCTAGACCAGGAGCTGTGTGTGGTCTAGGCGGTGCTGAACCACGTCCTAGCGGACATTGAGCTGTTTGTGGGGCAGCTGAAGGAGGCCGAGGCAAACGCCTCTCAGAAGACAAAGACGAGACTGGGGAAGAAAAAAGACAAGCGGCAAGGGGGTGAGTGCTGAGGGCCAAGGGAGAGGAGTAGGGGTTGGGACGTCTAGGGATAAACGGTAACCCCCGCCCTCTCCCCTTCCCCACAGGGGTGACACAGATGCAGTACATCGATTGCTTCCAGAAGTTCAAGTACAGCCTCAACCTCCTGGTGTGTGGCTCCCCACAAGGCCCCAAGCGCTTCCTCGCAGCCCTCCCCGCCACCACCAGCAACCCTACCTCTCTGGCCTCACGAGTATCCCAGTTGTCTCCAGCTTCGCCCCTGGAACCTCCCCATCCCCCACCCAAGGACATTCGGAGAGGGCCAGGCTCCCAGCCGAGGCCCACACCACTGTAGGCCCTGGGGCTCTGGTGAAGGTGGGGTGGGATGGAGGTGGTGACAGCATGCCTCATCTCCCCAGGGCAAGCTGGCCACCTATCTGCAGGATCCAAGTCCCAATGAGCTGCTGCGCATCCTCTTCCATACTCTGAACTTGGTGAGTTGGGGGAGGCCAAGGTGGAGAAGAGGCACAGGCTGAAGTATAGACAAAACAGAGGCCAGGATGGCCGGCAGAGGGTAGAGGGAGGTGGGGGGTCTGCCCCTCACTCCCCCCAGCATACCCTCCTCAACCCCAAGACACCATCCTCACTGTGTACCACGCCCCCGGAAGGCTAGAGGGGCCGAGGTTGGAGCTTGGCCACCAGAGCTCCGAGGGAGCGCGAGGGAAGGAGCAGAAGTGGGCACAGGGTCTCCGGCCCCCCTCACTCCAGTTGGGCCCTGCGAGGACCTAGGCTTCTCAACACCTTCCATCCTCCCTCTAGGTCCTCACCAAGTGCCCTGAGCGTGGCCTAGCGGCCCAAGTGATCTCTCCGCTCCTCACCCGCGAAGCCGTCAACCTGATGCAGCTCTACCTAAGCCCACCTGACATTAGCCTCTGGGAGAGCCTGGGTGCGGCCTGGACCACCAGCCAGTGAGTGAAGCCAAGTGAAGCTTGATCGAATGGGGGCCCCTCGGGCCATAGGGCAGGACACGGGATGTGCCTCGCTGTCACAGGCCAGAACCAGCCCAAAACATGCAGTTCCCAACTCTTTATTACACTAAGTAGGAACAATTCCTTTTTAAAATCGCCACTCGCCATCTCCTGCCACTGACAGAAAGGGATTGTCTCGGGGCGGGGGGGGGGCGGGGGAGAACAATTCTTCCCAAGGAAGTAGAGTTGGCAAGCTGCTAGTAGAATGTTTTCTCATTTTTGTCAAGGACAAAGTCAAAACTTTGTCTCAATCCAGCCCAGAATTTAAGAATTACTGACGTAAGAGATGCTGCAAATGTAACATCAGTACGACCTGGCAGCACAACGTGGCTGAGGAGTTAAGATCAAAAGTGAGAGAGCGTGTCCGTGTAACCGAGAGACGGGCAGCTGGGCAGCAAGACCACACCAACGAGAGCCACGGCGAGCGGGGGCAGACCTAGCTTGGATGTGCTGAGCTGAGGTGCCAGTGGAACATTCCACAGGGACAGGGGGACCCGGCCCTCAGTGGGGGGGCCGACCTGGCTGTGTGGGTTGGAGAATAGTCCATCCAGGGAAGATGGCGCGAGCCACCTAGAGGTCTGTGCTGCAGCGGGTAGCCCTGGGACTCGCCCCAACAAGCAAGCTCGCTCTGTCTCATGGCAGAAGGGAAACTTCTACATGTGGGGAGAGGAAGGAAAAAGGGTTAAGGGGGCAAAGAGGAATTCCCAGAGTTAAAAGACAGGCAAAAAAGGCAGAGGCCTAAAAACCAAGAGAGAAAAGGGTTTTAGAAAGAGACGCCAACCAAGAACTAAGCCACTTGTTCTAGCCTCTTGCTAGTGAGCGATTCTTTTCAATTCAGCCCATCCAAAGACATCAATTATAATCCAATGTAATCTATCTTTTTAATGGTGATAGAATACACCTAAGCTAACTTTAACATTTTTAAGTGTAATTCAATGGCTTTACATACTTAGTATTGGGCAACCTTCACTACTATCCATTCGCAGATCTTTTTCATCATCCCGACTGGAAATAAAATTCAACAATTAATGAAACTCTGTACCAAGTCCTTCCTCTCCCCAGCCCCCGGTGGTCTATTTTCTGACCCCATTTATCATTTTAAATACAAAATTAGGTCAAAGGGACCCTAAAATGTTTTCCAGTTTCTTAAAATAACAACAACAACAAAAAAAATTAGTGAATGAATGAATTGAAAGACAAAAATATAGAAAACAGACTAAAGAGGATGTAAAAATCCTTACAAGAATTGAATTTCAGGCCGATTTCATTTAGGTGACTCGATTTTTAGGGAAGTAGACCCAAAGCTATAAATAACACTAAATGCCGCAGTCCAGAAGGATATGAACCATGCAAGGCCATTGGGTGTGGCAGTCAGGACTTCAGGTGAACCAGTTTCAGCAGAGTCCTGGCAGAGGTAAAAATCACATTGCAAGGAATAATGAAAGAACCAGGGGTGAGGAAGTGTAAGCTGGGCATATGGACACATTCCCAAAAAATTTGGTAAAAAGAGGGTAACAGAATGACACTATCAAGGGAAGGCCTGAGCGTGTTTTTAGGGCAAAGAGAGACACCATTTAAACAGATTCAAAAGGAGAGACAATTTATTTGTTCCCAGTGAATATTAGCTGCCACCTGTGTACCCTGCACTGCACTCAGAATAATAGTTCTCAAGCAGTTCAACACCCTCAGAAACACAGACACGTGAGGGTCACGTGCAGCACATTGTGAGAGAAGCAATAACCCAGGGTGGCCCAAGGTCAGTGACAGCGCAGGAGAGGAGGTATTCACCCTCGTCCCCTCCACTTGCTTTCGAACCCCCAGTCAGCACAGTCAGGCGCCCCGCGCATCCTCCTGGAGCTGACACATCTGAACTCCATGGGCAGAGGTGAAGGCGGCTGCAGATCCCCGCACTGTGGTGTCTCTCCAGGCCGCACTCTTTGCTCCGTTGCGGGTGTTCTGTGCACATGGGCCACGTCCTCTGTCACCCAGAAGACCCCAAAGCTAGGCTCTGTCTACCCCTCCATCCCATAACCCACAGCAGGCAGCGTGGACTCAGCTCGGTTCTCTCCCCAGGGACAACTGGACAGGCAATGAACCACCTCCCTACCAACCCACATTCTATGATGGTTGGCAGATTCCAGAACCTTCCAACCAGGTAAGAGGGTGCTTAGCACAGAGCCTTCCTCAAAGCCTGGGTCTCTGGCTACTTTCTGCCTTCTCCGTCCAAACCACGGTCGCGCGGCACCTGAGCGCCCAGATCTGGGTGGGGGGCAGGCAGGGGCGGGCAGGTGGTCTGATCCCAGCCCCCCACCTCCCCGCTGGCTGGCCCCTGCCCTTGCTCCTCTGTTCTGCCCCACAGGCCCTGGCAGGACACCAGGATTCTACTTCCTTCCAGTAAGGCCCGGGCTTAGTCGGGACTGTGTGGTTTTGGTGGGTGCGGGGGCAGCGGAACGGGGCTGACCCTGTGGATCTGTGGGTGCTCCATCTCAGAGACCCCCTGGGCGCTCTCTCAGCCAGACGCGCCCGTGTGCAAACACATCCCTCCCCTGCCCCCCACCCCCGTGGGTGAAAAGGCAGGTTTTTCCCTTCCCAGGCTCCAGTCCCTCTTCTCACCATACCACCCACACGTGCCTCTGGTCTCCCAGGGCTCAGGGGTAAAGCGCTCAGAGGAGAGCTCAGTATAGGGAAGAGCTCACCTGGAGAGTCTTCAGGAATCAGCCACATTTCAGGAAAGCCCACCCGCAGCCTCACCTCACACAGACCTGCCATGACACTGCGGAAACCTGAGGGTCACCTCCAGACCCCAGGCGGGAGGTGTCCGGGGCTCCAGGGCAGGGACGCGGGCTCGGTTCCTGAGGCCCATTCTCCAGTCATCCTTACTCTGTTTCCGGGGGAGGTGGGACAGGGACAGGGTCAGGTCAGGGGGTCCCTCATCCTTGGCTCAAGAGGAGACATGTAACCATGGCCCCCGGTCTGGGGACCCCAACCTTGTGCCCTTCACCCCTAGACCTGTCAAGGAAGCTCTGAGAATGCAAGTTGTACATGAGTTTGAAGCTAGGAACCCAAAGGAGCTGACCGTGGGCCAGGGAGAGGTGGTGGAGGTAAGGCAGGGGCCTGAGCCTAGAAATGGAGGTGGCGGTCGGTGGGAGCTCCAGGCAGCCTTGGGGGAGGGGTGGGGGCGGAGCTGCTGGGTGGGTGGCCTAGAAAGGCAGAACGACAGTGGGGAAGCGCCGGGAGGGAGAAAGCCTTATGGGGGAGGGGAGGCGGCTGGACAGAGGCTCCTGTGACTGAGGGTGACTCTTGGCAGGTTCTGGACCACAGCAAGCGGTGGTGGCTGGTGAGGGACAAGACCGGAGAGAGCGGCTACATTCCCAGCAACATCCTGGTAGCCCTGCAGTCGGACGCCAACGCGAGCCAGAGCCAGTCGCCCCCTTGGGTACTGCCTGGCCGGGACTGCCCAGAAGCTCTAAGGCCTGAGCCGGGGGCGGGGGGGCAGGGAGGATGCACCGGCAGGCGGAAGCGGGAGCCCTGGCTTCATGTCATCTGTGTCATCACACGCTTACTGTGTGCCATGTTATCACGGAGCCAGAGCAGAGACTAAACCTGGTCCCAGCCAGGCAAGCACACCATGGAGTGACATAAGTAATCTAGCAGCAGCTCAGGGAAGGGACCCCGATGGTGGGCGCTGTGGGTGGCTCTGAGAGAGGAGAGGGCCTCTGACCCCCGCCCCCTTGTGCCCCCCGCCCCCCGTTCTAGGCTCCAATGCTTCGACTCAGCTCAAGGCCCGAGGAGGTCCGAGCCTGGCTGCAGGCGGAGAACTTCTCCACCGTGTGAGTGCCTCAGCCCCCGGGGCGGGCAGGGCGGGGTTTGTCAGGGGTTCAGGCAGTAGCCAAGGAAGCCCAGAGCCTACAACCTGCCCATCCAGACCGGCGGTCTGCAGGCGCTGCCCTGCCGCGCGCTGCCTCTGCTGAGTTAGCGGGAGGGCTGTGTTCGTGCCTCCCTTAGAGCACCAAGTGGGGAGCCCTTGCCATGGGGAAGGCAGCGGGATCGGGGGTCCCAGGAAGACCCTCGGCTGCCACCCCCACCACCCCAAGGCTCTCTCCCAGGACACTTTTCCCCACCAACCTGGGAGTTCTGGAATCGGTTTAAGCCAAAATGCACATCCCTCTCCTTCACCTCCAGATACCCTGTGGCAGGAATTCTCCCGCCACCCTCGCCTGCTCGCCCAAACAGCTCCTCCTCTCCCCAGAGATGCAGGCCCAAGTCCTCCGCCCCGCCACTGACAGCTCTCTGTTCTTGTTCCCAGCACGGTGAAGACCCTGGGGTCCCTGATGGGGACCCAGCTGCTTCACATGAGGCCGGGGGAGCTAGAGATGCTGTGTCCCCAGGAGGCCCCGCGGGTCCTGGCACGTCTGGAGGCTGTCAGAAGGACGCTGGGGGTGAGGGCACCCTGGGGTCCTGACTCGCAGTGGAAATGTGGGGCCCTCCCTGGGAGATCGTGAGAGCACGGGGGTGGGGGTGGGGGTGGGGGTGGGAAGCCGGCAGGCCCAGGCCTGGGGTAGAGCTGAGCATGACGGGAACCAGGCACAGGGTGTTCCCCTGGAGCCTGGCTTCATGCACTCAGGCAGGCCTGGAGGCCACAAGCTGAGTGTCGGCAGGAGCTCTGGGGGTCCCTTCCCTGGCATCAGCCTCACCTCGACCCTTCTTTCCTCAGATAAGCCCTTAGGCACCAACTCAGACGTCTCCAAGGCCAAGGCCTTCTCACAGCAAGATGGAGGATGCGCTGAGAATTCCTCTTTCAGGCCCCCAGTTCGCAGCAAAGCCCCCACCCCACTCCCACAGCCAGGAGGACAAGCAAGCCCAGAGATCAGGCGAATGATGTCCCCTCTTGCTGTGTGGGGAGCCCTCTCTAGTCACTATCTATTTATTGTCTCTATCCTAAGCAGGGAGCATGCGTGGCTACATTTGTCAGGATTCTTTTTAGTCCCTCTCCGCACCCCTTCCCAATAAAAGCATCTTCATTGGCATGCCTCCCTTGCAGCTTCCTCTGGGCTGGATGGGGGCCAAAGGCAGGGAGGCCAGAGGAGCGGGGACCCTGGGCATGACACAGCCGCAGCCCTGCCTCCACACTGGACCAGACCAAATGTGAGTGGGAGGCCCCGCTGCCACCTGGGATGCAGAAGCAGAGTTTGAGAATTATGGCCCAAGCTCTGCTTACCTTCTTTCTGAACAAACTCCCAAATAAGGGCCATACTCACCGTCTTTGTCTTGCTGTGTACACATTTCCCAGTAGCCTCCCAAGCACCCAGCAGAGCCGAGGGCATAAGACTTCCCAGGAGCAAAGAGCGTCAGGGTTGCTGACAGACAGTTGTAGGTTTTGATCAGCCGCACTGGCTGATGGTCCGGAAAAGCACTAATAAGCATGTGAAGTGCTCCAGGCTCTACTTGGCAACTTCCTCTTTTACTACAACTTTTGTCCCCTCCTGTAGCGGGCGCCAGCCTTGAGCTTCCTCCCCAGCTTGTCTGTAGCGGCAGATCATAGGGAACATTGGACTGGGAGTTCAGAGTCCACCAACTGGCTGACCAGGCATTTTATTCTCTGCGTCCGTATTTTCTGAAAGGTTAAGTGAAGAGGAGGCACTGTCTGCGGGCTGTGTGTGGCTTCTAGGATTTAATACACATAGCAGCCTTGAATCTCATGTCATGCACTCCTCTCGCCACATAGCAGAGGTTGTACTTACACTGATTCAGTCTACATGTCAGACTTCGTGTGCTGGTGAATCAAGGCCCCTTGGGGTCCCTTAAGGTGTTTCCAGAAGTATCTCTTAGCCAAACTCGTCCAGGACCCTAACATTGCCTAGGCCGCAGATTACCCTGTTTTCAGAGCACCTGCATCATTCTGTCAAATTCCTGGCTGCAGAAAGTCATCTCTCTTTTTCCTCAGGAAAGAGAAAACAGGTGAGCCCCTTAGGGTCTGACTGCCAAAGGCAAATGTTAATCAGAAAAGTAAATTTCTTGGGACGGGGACAGGAGATATTAACCCATTGTCCCCTGGGCTTCATGCAGCTAAAGGAGCCCTAGAAGCAAAGGAACCTTCTGGGACCAGGAATAAAAGTGGTTTAGCGTGGTGCTCCCCAGGTCTCTCAGCAAAGGCGGAAATAAGGTGAGGGACTGTCCAAGTTCAGTGGCACCAACACAAGCTGTGCCATCAGGCAGATCCAGCTTTGAGTTCCAGGCGGCAGCCCGTGAGGACTTGAGGCTTTGGAAAGGCAATTCACCCAACTGCTCCAGGCCTCCCTCACCTCCTTCCATAAAAAGGGCAGAAAATCTACTTCGCAAAGTTGTGAAGTTCAAATTGGAATAAAGTAGCTAACATTGACAGCCGGGCTCAGCATAGGTGTTCAATGAATGTTAGTCTTACGGGAGAGGGGTAAAGGCGAGGGGAGGGGGGGATTGAGACAACTGTCATAGCATAAACAATAAAAAAGGTTAACTTTCAAAAAAAAATGTTAGTCTTATACTTCAGGTTAATTTGTGGCGGGCCTTTTGCTATCTTGGAAGGAGAGATTGAGGGATTATTAATTTCTCGGTCCCTGTGCATTGCACTTTTTCCCTTTCTTCTTTTCAGTAAAATGTTCTTTTAAAAAGTCCCAACTGCGCCGGCTGGGTGGCTCAGTGGATTGAGTGCCAGCCTGCAAACCATAGGGTCGCTGGTTCAATTCCAAGTCAGGGCACGTGCCTGGGTTGCCAGCCAGGTCCCTAGTTGGAGTAAACATTTATAGCGTGACTCTCACTTTGTCTATTAGGGGTGCTTTTCCAGCTCTCACTGGCACCACTGACGGAGTGCAGCTCCGACCCACGCAGAGCGCAGAGTCCCAGCCCCATGTCCCCCAGCGCACGCAGGGCCCCTCGCGGGTGAAGCCTCGGGGTCGCCCGACCCCGACTCCCAGGGATTGCAGAAGTCGCGCCTGCGCGTGGCCCAGCGGACCCTCGCGTTAGGAAGGGGACCAGGGTGGTGGGGGCGGAGCGAGGGCTCTCACGTTGGCCCCGCCCCCTCACTTCGGCTATAAAGCCCCACCCGTTGGCATAGAACTACCAGTCCAAAGACCCTGGAACGAGCGCAGCATGTCGTCGTCTAAGTCGGGTGTGGTTCTGGGTTACTGGGATATCCGCGGGGTGAGTGCTGTCTCCGTGGCCGAGCCGCAGGGTCAGGGAGACGGATGTAGAGGCAGCCAGAGGCGGCCGGGGACTCAGGGCCCGCCGTGCCCCAAAGGAGCTCTCCTCGGAGCCAGGCTTCCCTCGCCGCGACGCGGGTTTCCCGGCCGCGGAGGCCGACCCCCACCCAGCCCCCGGGATCCCGGGGCCCGCGGAGAGGGGCTGAGGACTGCCGGCCGCCGGGGCCGCTTCCGAGGGTGGCTTAACGACTAACTCGGCGGCAAGGGTCTCGGCAGCCCCGGGTGCGGGATGATGGCGGGTGGGGGACGATGGCGGGTGGGGGACGATGGCGGGTGGGGGACGATGGCGGGTGGGGGGTGCTGGGGTCGGTGGGAGCTGCGCAGGCGCTGACGGGGGTTGTCTTCCCCAGCTCGCGCACGCCATCCGCATGCTCCTGGAGTTCACGGATACATCCTACGAGGAGAAACGGTACACGTGCGGGGGAGGTAAGGCCGCTCTGGGTGCCGGGGGGCCGCCGCCGCCGAGCTCAGCCAAGCCGGCCCTCCAACGGTTCTTGTCTTTTGTGCCCCGAAGGTGGCATCACTGCAGAGTCGAGTGGGACTAGTGTCCCAATCACTGCGATGTCCTCTGTTGGGAGAAAGGCATCCTTTATCTGGAGCTGAGATTCGCCCTCTGGCGTAGCCCAGCCTCACCTTCCCAGTTAACCATATAGGCCCCAGAGATGAAACGGTTAAGCTTTGGGGGCCTGGGGATGTGAGCTCCCTGGGCTAGGTTATTTCTTTAGATCTTTCCACTGTCCTCAGGGGGGATGTTAAGGAGGTTGGGCCCCACTTCATTCTGTCTTACAGCTCCTGACTATGATAGAAGCCAATGGCTGGATGTGAAATTCAAGCTAGACCTGGACTTTCCTAACGTAGGTGCTTCAGCAGAGGAGGGGGCAGCAGGAAATGCTGTGAAATGTATCCTTGCTTCTTCCCTCTCTGGTCTCTGGGGATCGAGAATAGGGGCTCTTCGCCTGGATAGGATAAGTAGAATTCAGGGGTTCTGGAACTTCAGTGGAGAAAAAAAATGACATTTTCATTTCCACTAACCACTAACTGAAAGTTCACAATTTCTTGTGAGTATAGGCAATATATTGTGACTTTGCGACTAGGAGAAATCAGGCGTATTTCATATTGGATGTGTTGTAGATATTGTAAATAAATATTTACATTCACCATACTTTGAAATTGTGGTAGCTGTTACACCTGCTTGTTATTCACTGATAGCCACTTATTACTGTTATAATTTGTTTCTTAAGGTTTTTATAAATTGCATAAACATGTAATTTACTTTATGCATTTAAAAACCTTATTGTGCAAAAGGGTCCATGGCTGGCACACACACATATGGAGAGAAAGAGAGACAGAGAGAGATATTAAGGTCCCCTGTCTAAATTTGGGTGGGGACCCAGTTGCCACGTTCTACTAACTTTCCTCTTCCTCCTAACACAGCATCTTCTCTCTGCTGTTCACTTCCCTGCAAGTGTCACCTTCCCCAGGAGAGAGAGTCAAGTTGACCATTCACCCTGTCCTTTCCCTTCCAGCTGCCCTACCTCCTGGATGGTAAGAACAAGCTTACCCAGAGCAATGCCATCTTGCGCTACATCGCTCGCAAGCACAACATGTGTGAGTGGGGTAGGGCTGGGAGGGAGACGAAGCTGCCTGTTCACCTGGCAGTAGATATGCCAAGAGTGATTTCTTGTTGTTTGGCCTGTAGGCGGCGAGACCGAAGAAGAAAAGATTCGAGTGGACATCATGGAGAACCAAATAATGGATTTCCGCATGCAGCTGGTTCGAATCTGCTACAACTCTGACCACGTGAGTGTCCTTAGCAGGCAGGCATCGAGGAAAAGGAGCTCTTAGGAGTCCAAGGTTAAGTCTCCATTCTCCCGCTGCCGCCTTCCCACCAACCCAGCCTATCAGAACGCTTATCTTGTGGGGGTTGGTTTGGTGCGGAACCCTGGCGTCGGCCCCTCTTCCTCTCCACACCCGCCCTTTCCATCCCGCACCCCTGCCTGGAGGCAGTGAGAGGAAGGCGCCCGGAGGAGGGACACGCAGTGTCCATCACCGGCCCTTGCCCTGAACGTGATGGCTGCTCTTCTCATTCTCTCCCAGGAAAAATTGAAGCCTCAGTACTTGGAGCAGCTGCCTGGACACCTGAAACAGTTCTCCTTATTCCTGGGGAAATTCTCATGGTTTGCAGGAGAAAAGGTAGGAAGGAGGGAAGGAAAGGGAGAGCATGCCTTTCTCTCTGTGCAGGGGCTCAGGAGCCCCCAGAGCTCACCGTCATCTTGTCCCTCTAGCTCACCTTCGTGGATTTCCTCGCGTACGATGTCTTAGATCAGAACCGTATGTTTGAACCCAAGTGCCTGGAGGAATTTCCAAATCTGAAGGCTTTCATGTGCCGTTTTGAGGTAATGGATGTTCCCTGCAGCTTCCTCTTACAGAGACACAGGCTCCCCTGGGCCTAAAGGGATCAGTGATTGGACACCTCCAAACCTTTAAGACTTGGGAAGGGCCTGGCTTCTATACCCAACAGGTGCTGTCCACAGGAAGGGTGGGAAGGACAGGCAGCTTGTCAATGTCGCTCGTTTGAAATGGGTCTGCTGGGCTGTGCTAGTCTTTGTAAGGCTCGGTGTGCTTCCGCTTCAGGCTTTGGAGAAGATTGCTGCCTACATGCAGTCCGACCGCTTCTTCAAGATGCCCATCAACAACAAGATGGCCCTGTGGGGCAACAAGAGAGTTTGCTGAGCAGGAGGCCAGCGCACGCTGCTCCTTCTGTGCCGCCCTGCCTGCAGGGCCTGTGTGCTCCCTTCCCTGCTCTTTTCAATAAATAGCGCTTGGGCTGCTGGTGTCCCGCTGGATTTCTCTGGGGTGTAAAGGCCGGAGGAGAATGAGGTCGTGTGGGGAGTTACCAAGACGTGCTTCAGTCCCTGCAACACAGACACCCCCGCCCTCTCACGGTGTCCAGTGGGCCTTGCCCAGGCCTTGAGGGGAGCGCTAGAAATGAAGGTGAGGTTGCCCGGTTGTAGAGAAGGGGTGTGTTACACGGGACTGGAGCCCCCGTGAAGACTTGGTGACGACGTTGAGTGGAACTGTGTGGCAGTGTGGCCATTAACAGGACTGGAGTTCAGAAGCAGACCCTTCTCTAGGAATTCAGTGTGACGGAGACAGTATTTCAAACCAGTGGGCTAACCCATAGTCACGATTGGGACAACTGCTTAGCAATTAAAAGTAAAAGAGCCCTACCTCACACCGCCCACTACCATTAATGCTTCTGGAATCGAGGGCCCCGTATTAAAGCTGGAGAAGAATGAATGTGTAAGAATGTTGTGGTCAAAAGGTGAGAAAAATTCCAATAAGACCCAAAAAAAGCCGTAAAAGGAAAAGCTTAAAGAGTATCAAATTTTTAACACTTTTTATGATAGTGCACAAATAAGCAAAATGACAAGTGAGATAAAAACAAAGAACCAATGTAAATACTATATAAAGGACTCCTAGGAATCATTACGACAATTTGGTTTCCAAAAATGGACAAACATCTATGAATAATTTACAGGAATAGAGATATTGATGACCCCCTAAAAAGTTAGAGATGTTTATAATCCATGGAACTTCAAATTAGAACAGAGACCATTTTTCGGATGAACAAAAAGTTTACAAAGACTGGTGAGGTTTGGGAAAATGACAGGCGTTTCCTTCCGGGGAACTCACACATTGGTGCAGCTACTTTGGAGAACAATTTGTCAGTATCTTCTAAAAAATTAAGTGCCGTCCTGTGACCCAGTAATTCCATTTTATTAAAAACAAATCCCTGAGGTATACACGGGGAGTGTGAGACTGTAGTAACAAACGTGGAAATGGTGTCCATGCTCATCATAGTCTGGGATACCGGACGGCAATTAAAGGATGATACTGAACTGTACCATGGGAAGACCCGCCCCAAGGCAGTGTTGAATGTTTAAAAATTAGGTTGCATGTTAGTATGTACGATATAAAACCTTTATGTTTCAAGAAGGGAAACCTTGAGGTAAGCCTTTTCTGCAGGTACAGGATGTACATGAGATGCATAGAAAAGGCCTGGCACCCCAACCAGGCTGCAGGGACGAAGTTAAAGGAGACCTTAGAGAAAAGCGAAACACTTCTTTGTTTAGCTGGGGGAGTGCCTTCACGTGTTGCCTGGTCACAGGAACCAGAGTTAAGAAAAGAAAGCAAAGGGGAGGGAAGCTGACTGCTGAGGGGGAGGCTGAACCGGCACCACTCCACGTGCAGAGCGAAGTCTTGGAGTAGAGGGCCAGATTGTCCCCTGTGACCAGGAGCCAGGGCGCTCCCCGGGGTGGGAGGGATAGAGGGCTGAGTGGCCGGGGACCGGGGACGTCAGGAGGGAGTAGTACAGACAGGTGGGAGGCAGACAGCTCAACTCCCACCTTTCGCCAGCAGCGGTAGGATGTCCAGGGGAGGTGTGAGGCGGGGGGCTCCTGGGTCGTCTGAGGACTACTGAGGTGATCGAAACAGTGTGAGCCAGTGAAGTGTGTCTCAAGGGAAGGCCTCGTAGACCCGGGGCAGGCGGTGGGAGGGGTGGTGCAGGGAGGGCGAGGTACCTCTAAACGATAGAAGACGTGACCGGAAATCTGAAAGGGAATGCATTATTTATTGCTCTGTAACAATAGCACCACTAATCTAGCAACTTAAACCCACACCCATTAGCTCCCAGTTTCTGGGGATAGGAGTCACGGCACAGCTGCACTGGGCCCCTGCTTCAGGGTCTCATCTGAAAGCTGAGGTCAGCGTGTCAGCCAGGGCTCTGGTCTCATCTCAAGGCTCAACTGGGGAAGGATTGGCTTTCCGAGTTCGCGGGATTGTCGCTAGAGTTCAGGTCCTTGTGACCTGCTGGACAGAGGGCCTCAGGTGCAGCTGAAGGCCGCCCTCGGCTCCTTGCAAGGGGGGCTCCTTGCTTCATCCAAACCGGCAGGGGGAGGGCCTCTGGGAAGGACAGCAGAGCCCCATGCAATGGAATGGAAACGACACCCGCCACCTTTGCTGGCGTCCGTCAGGAGCGAGGCACTGGTCCTGCTCACACCCGAGGGAGCGGGTTTCACAGAGGTGTAAGGACCAGGACCTGGGCTTACGGGGGTCTGTCTGCTTGACACTGGGGAGGTGGCAGGGAAACAGGAAATCGCCCTGCACTCTTCTGTAAAAAGGACCTGGGAAAGGCAGGCGACAGAGGACAGCAACGTGGCAATTGGAAGGGAGAGTTTTAAAAAGCACATGTCTGCAGGTGAAACGTGCAGCATATAAATCCCGGCCAGACAAAAAGCAAATCGCGTGCTCCAGCTTTTTCTAGTTAATACATTTGTGAGCAAACATCCACTTAACAGTAGTATTCTAGCATTGGGTTTGTACAAACAGCATCAATGAGAGCTTAAAAGAAGAAAAAAAAAACAACTTGTGATAAAAGCAGTTCCCCAAAAAGTATTAGAGATGCTCATTTGTATTCCTTGCTGTAGGTTGAGCAACTGGATGAGGGTATTTCCAGCGCAGAAGGCAATCGTTTATGTGACTTGAGATGAATTTGTTGTAACATTATTTCACTGAAGGGGTGGGTGGAGTGGGGGCTACCAGCATATGTGGACATGGGTCTGCCTCTTGACCCAGCTTAAGGGTGCAGAAGACCAGGAGTCTGGACTTCGAACAGGAACTGCATGCCCCTCATCCTTCGGTGGCAGGAAAAGGTTGAGCGATGAGCCGCACTGATAAAAAGGAGACCGGGGAGCCCTCAAGATCAGCGCAGAATTCCTTCGCTGGAGAGTGGGTCGTATGAGTTCATGGTCTGGCTTGCTCCTGGCTTAGGCCAAATTGAAAAACAAGGAAAAAATTCTGGAATCAGCAGTATAGGCTCTCTGGGGGTTTTCAATGAAAATATTTACAGGTAACTCACATGCGAGATTTAATTCTGAACAAGAAATTAAATGGATGTGTGTGTACTTGAATTTCAAGTGAGTAGGCGCTGCTGTGTGGCCCCACACGGAAACAGAGGGCCAACCTGAGGTTATTAGAAGGGAGTGTTTCCCATGGTGCAAAGGGATGGAAATCCATCTAGCAGGATCGTGTTCGTGTTGTGTTAGAAGTCTGGGGAAAAATAGAATAGGTCCGTATTTTATTTCCTATGCTGGCAGGTTCCCATTGTATTAACAGACAGTCTTTTGAACTGTGACTGAAACCCTATCCGCTTCCTTCCAGTTTGCTTCAAGTGGATAGAGCCCCGGGAAAAGGTAGGAAACACGGGAGGCTTTCAGACAGGGCTCTGCCTTATTGGGGGATTGTTGGGGCTACCCCTAAAGCGGAGTCGGGTGGGAGCAGCCACACCTGACTATGGAGGAGGATGACAATTAGCATCGACAGGAGTTGTCCTGGAACCCACCAGGATTGGCCCCTCTTATTCTCTGTTTCCATGTCTCGAGTCACCATGTGGCAGCAGGCAGGTCCCTCTGTGTCTGTCACCAATAAAGGCTTCACTCACTGAGTCACAGGAGTTAGGAAAACATAGGCTAACGAAGTGGGGCGACAGCAAACCTGAAAGTGGGGTCACCAGAGGGACGGAGACAACAGCTAATCCAGAGACTAGCTGATAGCGATCAAAATAAAAGCCTTATTTTGCCACATCTCTTCTGAATCATCTCACCAAAGAACAGCATCCCAGGAGCATCTGAATAAACACAGAACAGCTTATCTGCAGAAGTGTATCTGCTTCCTGCTACATCACAGAGCTCAGCTAATTGTCCCCTTTTCCCACCTCCCGTTCCCTCCCCACTCTACCTAAGGTGAATGGGGAGCAGGGGGTGGGCATGGACATAATGCTTTGGTCTGTGCTTTTCAAAATATCCACCTGAATGTCACCCAGAAGTTCCCAAAGTTGGACGTCGGCGCAGTAGTTGATGACTCTTTGGCTTGTTCCTGCTTGGGGCAGTGAGGGTGGGCGTGTTTTGTTTGCACGGAGGCGGCCTCATTACCTTAGCGGTTAGATGGGAGGTTTTCTGGCGGCGGCTCTGTGGTGACTGTTCGGAAGAGCACCCGTGGAAAAAGAGTATGTCTGTGGTGGGCATCTGTCCTCTGCATCTTTGAAACGTGCTTCTCATGGGCGGGGACATTCTCTCGGGTTAAGTCCACAAGGTACCAGGCGGCTGCGACGACTCTCAGTGTTCACCTGCCCATCTCCTGATTGTCACGGCGTCTCTGTTTCTGCTGGGCATGTCACTTCCCAGGCGAAAGATGTCGTTTCCGATCTAATTAAGCTCTAGTCACTGAGATATATGTAGAAATATTACGTGTTCCAGGAAGTTGCCTTTAGAAGGGAAGAACAACCCCCCTCCCTCTTTCGGCCCCCTGCTGTTTGAAATGCAGACGCGATGGCCTCCAGCAGCCGTTTTGTGCTATGAGGTAATAGAGGATGAAGCCCTCACACTGAAGAAGAGGGAGCAGAAAGTTCAAAACCTGAGTCCTTAAGGCTCCTATGAAGCCAACATTACGGGTGCTTAACTGTCCCCCCTCCAGGTCTTTCCTTAGGAGAGACGTGAGCACCTACCCTGTTTAAGCCACTGTCATTGTTTAGTCACACCCAGAACTTAATCCTGTTCATTCACTCACTCTTCCCGGCCTCCCTGTGGCTCAGGCACTGCCAGGGACTCATGCTCTCTGAAGAACAGACAGCGGTGCGAGATTTCAGTCTTGAAGAGGCAGGCTCTGAGGGTTTGCTTTCTGGCCAGACCAGGATTTTGGAGGCAGCTGCGGTGAGACACTCGATCCAGTGTCCCAGCGTCCCCCGTCAGGGACAGGCCCGAGGCCGTCTGCGCCCAGCCAAGGCTGGGCGGCCTTCTCTGGAACAACCCCACAAGCAGTTAGGCCCATTTCCTGGCTGCCCAGCCCCCAGGGCCAACCCCCCGGCCTCCCAGGGGTTCCATGAGCTACCTAATACCTACAATAAATCCCTTCCGTTTCAGCAGGAGGAAGAACCAACCACAAATCTTGGGTGTGTATGAAAATCAAACCTTTAATGCCTTGGGCCTCTATCCTCCCTGCTTCAAACAGCTGGCTTAACCCCAGGGTTGCCTCTGGACTGGGGCTTTACTCGCCACTTTTCCGGGTGTGGGAGTGACCACCATTGACCCCTAAAATCCATTCTTTGGAAATTCGGGTGTGCTCTGTGACTAGGTAGAGCCGCATGTCTGAACTCAGGGATAGAATGTGAGCAGCTGTGCCGTAGACAGTTTCGGCCACATTTGCATGGTGGAAAGTTGCTTCCTTGGGTTTTCTCTGTTTTCCTTCTCATACTCAGGACACAGCTTCAACCAGGGGATGAGGGAGCACCCTAGCGGATGTCAGAGCCATGAGATCGGAGGCGCCTGAGTCGCTGAATGACTCCATGGAGCAGGGGCGGCCTGGACTATTTCCCATGGAACACAACAGAAGAATAAACTTCGAGTTCCTGTAAACTGCCGTCTTGGGGTCTCTCTCAGCTTTGCCTTTCTCTGCTAATACAGTAACAACGGAGGAATACTGGGCAAGGACTTAATTTTAATTAACAACAGGTGATGACACGCCGACACACAGCCCCCATGCCACGTGTTCGCGCTGGCAGGGGAAGAGACCCCCTGCACGCTGGTGCACGCTGGTGCACGCTGACACCAGGCACTGGAGAACCCCACGTCTCAGGACCTGGGCTGGGTCTGGCCACAGTCACGTCGTTGTCCTGGCCACCCCAGGTTGAAATCCATACTTTCTACTGTTTCTGCCCCAGACTTGACAACTTATGTTTTCAGCTTTTGTAATTTTGACCAATGTTTAGGAAATTGTTTTCACTTGCAACTGTCTTTGTTATCACATCTTCCCTCCTTTTAAAGATTGAGGTTTTTTTCTTTTATAATCACCTATTACATTTTACCTCTAATACTTAGGCTTTACTATAGCTATGTCTTTTTAACCTGAGCTTCTACATCAGGAGTCAGAAGTAGGCCATCTATTTTTGAAATCCTGCTGGAACAAAGCCCCACCCATCATTTGCATATTCACGCTGCACCGATGAGTGATTGACAGAGACCACATGACCCAAAAAGCCAGAAATATTTACTGACTTGGTCTCTACAGAAAGCATTAGCCAACCCGTGTTCTGGACCTGTGCCAACCTGACTCTGACTTAGTAATTTATTCTCTCTCTTTTTAATCATAGTGCCACTCCTAGTTTCCACTACTTTTGTATTCTTAACCTTCCTACCTTTAAGTTAATATTTAATAAACTTTTGACTTAACTTTTATCTTACCAGTTTCATAAACTTTACTTTGCTTTGCTTAACTTTTGTCAGTTTAATCTTTTTAATCATTTATTTCTCAATGACCTTTAACCCCATTCCCAGGGCTCCCTTTTTATTTAATAACTGCAACAAGTACAGGCGCAGGCAGAGGTCACCAGGACGGCTGCTGGACAAGACTCTTCTTCGGATCTTCTCCCGGTAGGAGCTGGGTCTCAGGCTGTGACTCAGGGGACCCAGCTCCGCTACCCAGCCACTGTTTGAGGAGCATGCTCATCAGCCAGCTATCTCGAGTCCCAAGCCTCTGCAAATGTTCTAGCACCCGATGCCCACAGCACCTCCTGTCGACACAGATCCTTGATCTCTAGCCCCGCCCACTAGGCCTGCCCAGGTCAAGTTATTAAAGCACAGCAAAAGCCTATTAAAGGCTAACGTTAGAAACGGCTAATGGCTCATCCTCCCAGACCTGTGCATTTAAAGTCATTTGAGCTTTTTGTGTCTCTGGTGGCCGATATGAAGTATATCCAGAGCTCAAAGTCCCAAGAGTGGCTGCAGAATGTGCCAGGGTCTTACCCAGGGAAAATTCAGATTTCAAACTTTTGTTGAATAAGCGTTCAGGAAGTGTGATGGATATCAGAGATAAAAAGTCCAGTAAGACATGGATCCTCTCCTCAGAGAATTTCTGATTGAGTTGGAGAGGAAAACAAGTAAAAAGGACAATCATAACACAGTGGGATGTATTTTACTGAGATGCGTTGGAAGAGCACAGGGAGCAGGGGACACGCAGCGGGGAGCCTTCCAGGAACGGCATCAGGACGGAGACCCCAGGGATCCCACAGTGGGTGGCTCAACACCCCCAGCCGCCCCAGAGAGCCCTGCGGACTGTAACTCAGATACTACAAGTTTGAGTGGGGGGGTCGGGGGGGCCTTCCACGACACTGAAATGCAGCAGAGACAGAGGCACCGAAGGCCCCTCTTCCGTAGGGACCCCACACCAAGGCATGCGTATATGAACAGACATTCACATGAGCAAGAAACCTTGTAATCCTACTTGTCACTCTCTCGGCCACTACTGCCACATACATCCCCAGGCACCCGCCGCTGCACACAGCACAGGGAAAGTGGCCAGCCCCCCAAACCTCCAACACAGTCAGTCCTGAGTCCAAGGCCAGAGGAGATGACAAGATCAGCACCGTGACTCAGCGTCACCAGGGATGAGTCAGAGGAGCAGAGCCTGCACCCTCGCACACTGGTCTTCAGGGCGCTGCGGGGAGCGCAGGGCTGAGCTCTAAGGCCCGGGATCTAATTGGACTCCTCAAAACAGGGCAGTCACTGAGGGGAAGATCAGTCTCATTGGCTTTGAGGCCAGAGGATTAAGGTGGGAAGGGCAGGAGGGCGGCTGAAGGAAAGGGGAGGCTGTAGCTGTACAGGGTGAGGACGAGAGGGGCTCGAGGCAGATCAGTAGCCAGTTAGGCATCTAGTGAGGGAAGGGGGATAATGGAAAGGAGTTAAAAGAGGAAAGAGAAAGCAGAGCAGATGGTCCTAAAAATGTAGATACGTCCAGCAGTGCTCCTATCCCCTCTCCTGCACACGCAGCCCCTACTTGTTGCCCCACATGGCAGGCTTCGAGTACACAGGTGTCGGGAGGAAGCGGCTGGACTTCATGTACGCAGAGATCTTCTTCAGGCCCTGAGGGTGGAAAAGGCAGGCCAGACATCAGGGTCGGCTGACCATCCACCCCGGGCTCCGCCACCCCACCCCAGACACCCCGAGGTCCGGACCCCGGCTAGGCTTCCTTCCGGGGTCGAGCACTGGGGAGAGGACACCGTTCACGGGCTCCCCAGCTCTCCTAAGCGGACTCCCCAGTTTCCCCTAACGGACCTGAAATCTGAGCAAGAGTTGCCACCTCGGAGGATCCACGTTGAGCTCGGTGCTTGATCTCCAGTACAGATTATCATGCGTGTTTAGAATCTCCATAGAACCCCCACAGGGTGAGTTCTACCATCACCATCTATCACAAGGGCAACGGACGCACCCAGAGCTGAAGCTCCTTCCACGTCGCCCACGGCTCATTGGTGAGAAGGGCTGGAAGGCAGCCTGGCTCTCTAATCCTTTCCTTTCTGAGGCACCTCCCTCCTCCCACACAGGAGGCCTGGACCCCCGCCCACCCCGCCCCGATTCTGCACACACAGTGTGCCGTTGAGAGGGAGGCTCCTGGCCGCCCAGGGCCACCCAAGGAGGGACCCTGCGGGAACTAAAGCGCCCAGGATGTGCCTGTGCAGCTTGCACACGAGGCCCCATCTCCCCCAGTGACTCAGCAAAACAGGGGTGAAAGCCGACAGGAGGGAATGGAGCGAGAAAGCCCGGCCAACCCAAATACACCAGCCAAACAGGAGAGTCCAGCTCCTTGGCCTGGGACCTAAGTCCACTCTCACTGGGCCCACCTACCCCATCCCCGCCCGCTGCGGCCGACCAGGCCTCACACACACAGCATGTGCGAGCGCCCTCGGCCCAAGACAGGGAGCCCGGGACATCCTACAGGGCTCAAAGGTCGCGGGGCTGCCTCTGACAAGGCCTGGCCCGGCCCAGCAGGCGGCCCACTGCAGCCCACAGCTGCCCCCAGCCCTCCCAGCCGGCCCCTCATCCCAGCCCCTGCTGACGTCCAAGGCTGACCACCCCGGACCGGAGCCAGAGCTCCTGAGAACTGGCTCACTAAGCAGGTCTCTGATGGGGACGGGAGAGGGCACAGGGCGGAGCCTGAGCAGCCCCTAGCCTCGTATCGCCTCCAATTCCCCAATCAGCCGCGCAGCGGACTCTGCTGATGCCCTGTGAGTTGACTGAGGGTGACGGGTGCAGGGCTGTGAGGCGAGGTCCAGGCCGCCCGCCCCCAGCGCCCAGGGGGAACCACGGGACCGCACAGCGGGGGACGCCTGGGCCTCTCCAGCTGCATTAAGACCCAGGAGCGGGGCTCCACACCTGGGTCCCCTTTGCGTCCCGACATCTGTGTCTGACACCGTGTCTCCCTCATACAGAGACGGACAGGACAGTGAATAGGAAAGACAATAAAAGGGAAGTCCTAAACACTCCACTGTTGTAAGAGCAATGTGTGTGAACTTGTCTCTACTGAAACAATGCTCTAAGCAATTGGGAGCAATGTGGTAAGAGTAAATTTCACCCAGTGCTGCTGCACAGAGCCGTTGACAGAGCCTGGCATACAGCCAGCGCTCAGTTAAGCTCCGTGAGCTGTAGGACTAGGGAGGCATCGGGCATGAGAGATGAGAGAGAAGAGGTAAAATGTAAGGGAACCGGTGAAATCACCTCAAAGCGGACCAAGAAGTCCTTCAGGTTCGGGAACGCATCCAGGCACTTGGGCTCGAACATACGCAGTGTATCTAGGACGTCATAAGCTAGGAAGTCCACATAGGTGAGCTGCAGACACGACAGAATGAGTGGGTGCCAAACGCTGAACCAGGAAAATGTCACCCCCGGCGCCAAAGCCAGAACCAAAGCCTTCCCCTTACCTTGTCCCCTGCAAACCAGGACCTCTTCCCCAGGAACTGGGAGAACAGCTTCATCTTTTCAGGGAGCATGGTCAAAATGTCAGGCTTCAGTTTCTCCTGAGGCGCAAAACAGCTGTCACCACCCTCAGAACAGACGACCCGCACGCGAGACAGGCTCCCCGGGCTGTTCCCGACCCCCACACCCCGCAGAGGAGCAGCCCTGGGCCCCAGTGCACTCGGGTCGGTGCCCGGGTTACAATTCAATCCAACCTGTGAGCATCCGACACCGGCTGGCGCTGACCGCCCACCTGTGCCAGGCAGCGGGGAAGGCAGAGGACACCACACCGTCCCCGAGCCCGTCTGCACCCATCTGCAAACACGCGCTCACGGCCCAGCCCCCGGAGCGCTGGGACTGCCTGGCGGAGCCCGCGACCCAGACATCCGGCAGAATGAAAGGCGCCAAGAACTAAATCGTCCGAGGGGGAGAGAGGAGGTGTCCCCGCTCGAGGGTGACAGGTGGACACCGGAGCACTCTCTGGGACACGGGGAGAATCTGAGAGGCTGGGAGGAAGAGGGAGAGACACAGAGGCCCTGCAGGCGCCCCGCGCTGCACCCTGGGAGAATGGGCTGCCACCTGTGGGTGCCGGGGAGACGGTACAGGGCTTTGGGATGGACTCCCTGTTAGGAACGGAGCTTCCATCCCTGAGGAGTCAGGACTCTGTGCTAAGGCTGACGAGAACTGCAACCCAGAATTCATTTCAGCCACTTGGGGGCTGTGTGGGTCACAGCGCTGACACTATCGGGACCCGCGTGGGGCACCAGAAGCTCCACGGAGTTCACACGGCGAACAGGACCAGCACAGAACACAAGTGTAGTCTCCTATCAAAATCTATCCACCCACAAAGTCAGGGCTGTAGCAGATCCGGGCCGTGTACAATCGGACATCCATAATCTCGTTCTCCAACATGTCCACGCGAATCTTCTCCTCCTCCGTCTCCCCACCTACAGCCACAGGACAGAGACTCTCCCTCAGCACCCCACCCCTGCCAGCCCCGGGGCACGCCCGCCCCTAGGCCCCCGGCACTCCCCCAGCCTCACTCACACAGGTTGTGCTTGCGAGCGATGTAGCGAAGGATGGCGTTGCTCTGGGTGAGCTTGTGAGCCCCGTCGATCAGGTAGGGCAGCTGGAAGCGCGACGCAGGGGGAGGTCAGCGGGCCACAGGCTCCCCCGGACCCCCTCCCGGCATTTGGGGCAGAGAGGAAACCTGGCCTTGGGCGCCTGGCCATGGTCGGCACTAAGCAAATACATCAGGAAGAAGGAGCTGGAACACCAGCATCCCCCGAAAGCAGCGCAGAGAACCGGGAATTCGAGGGGCTGCACTAGGGCCGGGACTGCGAAACCCCTGTGGAATTGGGGACGGAGACCTCAGCAGAGACAAGGTCACGCGCCCCTGTCCCCCGGCCCCTGCACCTACATTGGGGAAGTCCAGGCCCAGCTTGAACTTCTCGCTCAGCCACTGGCTTCTGTCAAAGTCCGGAGCTGCGGTGGAGAAAATGGGGTGAAGGAAACACCCTCCCAGGCCGGCCCTCTTCCCTGGCGGCCAGGCCCTGAACACTGGAGTCTGGAGTCTGGACACTACCTCTCTCGCCCACGTGTCGGGAAACAAGGACGAAGGTCCAGGACCCACAGGGCGAAGGCTTCCATGAAGTGCGGACAAGCCCCAGGGGAAGCCCGCGCAGCCACTCACACAGGCGCCCAGCAGTCCCCTCTCCTGGGCTACCTGGTAGCCCAGGGTCCACCCATAGAGGATTAAGGAAGGAGCCAGGCCCTGCTCCACGCTTTGCAGGGCGGCAGGTCAGCTCCAGGTATCCAAGGCGCGGGGACTTGGTATCCAATCAGCAGGCGGGGGCCGAAGTGGCACGTGACAGCTTTGTCCTTACCATCCCCCATTGTGTACCTCTTCTCTTCATAGCTGGAGTCCGTGTATTCCAGGAGCAGGCGGATGGCGTGAGCCAGCTGCGAGGGACGACCGGTCAGCTGTTAAGGGTCCAGGTGGCCCGACCCCAAGACCCGCTCTCCTAGGGGACCCCTCCCCCAACACACAGACACCCGTGCCTCCGCCCCGGTCGGGTGCGGGGCTGGCTCGCCTCGGGCAGCCCTGAGCAAGGCCATTCCGGTAGGTCCGCCACAGCTGCCTGGCCTCTCCCCGCCCGCCGGTCCCATCCCACTCGCGTCCCCACAGAACCCTGCTCACCCCACGGATGTCCCAGTAACCCAAAGTCATGGCCATGATAAGCGTTTTGTGGCTTCAGGGCACGACAGCCAAGCCCGGTTCTAAGTTCACGCAGAGATTGCGCAGAGCGCAAAGGGGCCTAGAGGAAGCCACACCCCGCCTCTCTCTATACCCCGCCCCCCAGGACCCAATCTGCTGGAGCTCCGGGCGGCGCTGCACGCGAGGCTTCCCAGCGCGGCGTGTGGCCCCAGGGTCCGCGGGCATAGTGCTTGCTCGCCACCGAGCCGCGGGGCTTGGAGTACTGAGGTTGGGCGCCAGAACGCCCACGGCCGCCGGGCCGGGCTCGCGTGGGTGCCCCGGGCGGCTCCGCGGCCGGGCGGCAGCACTCTGACCTCTGGTGGCTAAGAGGGAGAGTCAGTGCTCCCGGCAGACAAAGCTGACAAATCCGAATCGCAAACAGCAAAGCCCCTCTTGCTCCCTCCCCCTCCAGGCACTGCTCTGCTTCGCCCTTGGGTAGCAGGGTTCCCAAGGACTCAGGGAGGCCCAGACTGTCCCTTGAAGCCAAACATCGGCCCCTCAAATCGAGTGTCCATCCGCACCTCTCGAGGGAAGTCCCGCCAGTCTGAAAGCTCCTCCAAGGCCTTGAAATGCCTGATGGCGATGTCCCTGAAGCGGGACAGGGACACCCGGGCCGGCGCAGACAGGGGCGCCTTGGTCTCAGCGTTCCCCTTCCCTGGACTTTAGAGGACCCAGCTCCTAAGTCATGTGTCTAAGAGTGATAGGAATCAGATGCAAATTAATCAATTAGCGTTATGGTCCAAGTCCTCGATTAAAATGCAGAACCAGCTCCTGCAAAGACACTTGGTACTGAGGTGCAGCCCAGAAAACGGCCTGCCAGCCAGATGTCTTCTAGATGTTCCTGGTTTTGACCAGAACAGTGCAGGACCCTGGTGGTCTCATGGGGCGTGTGAGGGAAGGGGGAAGCTGTCCTCGGTGGGCCAGGCGCCTGTACTGCTGCAGAGGGCCCCGGACCGGGGGGTGGGCTGGCCAGCAGGAGCCTGAGGGACGCCTCACAGGACCACCGCCAGTGTAGGCCCTGTGGACCGTCCTGTGCGGGTCCACGGGGGACACCCTGACCCTGGCCCCTGACACACCTGTGTTTGAGGTATGAGCGTGCGGCTCGATGGCCTTTGAGGTCTCTCTGTGATCTGTGGCCTGAGGAACAACCTCTGAGAATACACCCTTCCTGCCAACTTCCACTCTGAGGGCAGAACATCCATGAAAACTAAGAGAACAGGACGCATTTGGGCTGTGATTTTTTCCTTTCTTTAAAGGATGTTCCATGGTTGAGTGCATACATGAAAACAGATGGTGGGGACTTTTAGAAAACAAACGCGCTCACAAGTTTGAGGGCCATTCATGCCGGCAGGGAGGTAGCCAGAGCACTGGGTCCCGTGGCCACCCCACCGCTGACAGGGAAGGTTGTGCACAGGGCAAACCTGGAAACAGTCCTGCCCTTGGTCTGTCGCCACCAGCACCAGGCTGCAGATCAGGGTCAAGACCAGGAGACTCCGGCAGGAAGGTGGTCGGACGGGCCGGCCAGCCTGGTCCTCCAGGGTTCTCGAGCCATGTCATTCTGCGGGACACCAGGCCCCTAAGGCTCCCAGACACTGGCCCAGGGCCAGGCATGCTGAGGCCTGCCCCTGGTGTGGGGAGAGACAGAGACAACAAACGTGCAAGTCATACAACACACAAGACTATCAGGACATGGGAGGAGCCATTAAAGCAAGGTCATCTGACACGTGCTGCTCTACAGCTTGTTACATGTGATGCTCTCCTGAGTCACCGCCCAGAATGGAACAGAGAACATCGCCATCCTTCACAAGGCCCCTCCAGTGAGCAACCCCACAAGCACAAGGCCGCGATTCGGCTGACTTCGATCACCTTGGACTCATCTCACATGTTGACTTGCAGGTAAATATGACTATAAAGCATGTTTTTTGTATCTCTGCCCATGTGGTCAATGTTGCATCAGTGAGCCTTCCATGATGTCGTGTGTAGGAGCAGCACATTTATTTCCATTATAGTATTGTATATTCCTAGCAATGCAGTATTCCCTCATATAGACCATGGAATCATAGCAATAAGCCAAGTTTCTCTCTTCTTTCTTCAACTGATAGCCCTGTGGATTATTGCCAGTTATTGGCTGTTTCCAAGGAAGCTGCCCAGCTGACTGGATATGTCCCTGCAAGACACAGGCACTCGTGCCTGTCGAACTTTACCATGGAGCGCGACTCCTGGGGCACAGGCTAGATGTGTGCGTGATACCAGTACGACTGCTGGTACGTCAGAGTGGTTGTGCCACCAGCAACGAATGACAGTTCCAGGGACGCCATAAAGTCAACAACTGTCGATTCCTTTATTTACTTTTTTAAGATTTTATTTATTCCTAATGAGAGGGGAGGGGAGGGAGATAGGGAAACAGGTATCAACTGGTTGCCTCTCTTCCACACCTAACCTGGGGACCAGGCTTCAATGCAGGCACGTGCCCTGCCAGGGAATCGAACCTGCAACCTTGAGCTTTGCAAACCAATGCTTAACCAACTGAGTGATGCCATCAGGATTCGCTGTCAATCCTTCTAATTTTAGCCTGTGGGAATATGGAATAGGATTCAACTGCGTTTGTAACTTCTCCAATACGTAATGATGTTCAGCAGATTTGTATATGCTTCTTGGCCATCTGGATGAACTCTCTCAGGAAATACCTGTTCCAGACCTTTTTGCATTGGGTTGGAGTCTCGGTAAGAGTTCTCTGATGGTTCGCAATACTTTCTCCCAGCTGAGCCGGCCTGCATACCGGCCTCACAAAATGAGCAACGATCTAGAGTGCCACGAATTGGGAACCCCTGGGCTCCAAGAAACACCCCCTGAAGCCACACACCTTACAGCACGATTGAAAATCACTTGCAAAGCACGTGATGCCGATGGGGGAAGGGTGGCTGGTGGACGACAGCGGAGGAAAGCCAGACTCAGCACCTTTACGCAAGGCTGGGACCTGGGAAGACATCCCCTGGCTCCCCCCACAGGACTTCGCTAGCCCAGAAGGGCAAGAAGAAACTCAGAGCTTCTTAGGTTTAAGGAAAAGCGACTCTGTGATCCAAATGACCTAAGTCAGGCGGGCATCCCAGAAGCAGAGCAATTCCGCCAGTGGTCTGTATAATGCCATACCTGACCAGGTTACTAGTTCGCTGCACACCAGGATGGACGTTTTTGAGATGTGCAAGGACTAAACAAATTTATCCCATGGTACCGATGATAAAGAGGGAGGCAACCAAGACACACAGTCCTAACAGCAGCTGTGCAGCAGGCCTGCGGAGGGTGCCTAGACGGCATCTGAGAAAGGAAGAGACGTGGAATCCTAATCTTACAGATGCGAAAAAGCCAGACAGTGAGGGAGGGAAAAGAGCCCTGGTCCTCCCCACCGGGGATTCCGAACGCCTCTGGGCCCCGCTCACTCACACACGGAGCTCTGCCCAGTGAGCCCGTACTATAGAGGATGAAGAAGTGAGAGAGCCAGGTCCAGAAACAGGCCTCCCTTCCACAGAGAGCCCCGGGAGGCGTGCCACTCCAAGGGGGTCAGACATGGGAACAAAGAGTCTCAACACACTACGACCACCCAGGACCTCCAAGGACCAAGCCACCGCCAGCATCACCAGTCACCGCCTTGGAAGCAGCGGGGCGCATTGGGGAACTCAGGTGGCAGGAGGGAATGAGGACAACAGTGTAATGAGGCTTCCCTGGAGATCACGCAGGGCTGAGAGGGGCCATACTGGGGAGCAGGCCCAGCCCTGCCCTGCGGCCGCAGAACTGCTCATTGGGCACTGCTGGGCGCCCGGGGCAGAGCTCTACAGGCCGGGGGTGCCGTCGGGCTCCTCAGAGCAGAGAAACCACTGGAAGGAAGGTCTGTCCATCTGGCTTTAATTTAGTGCAGTAACGAGAAACTTAGGGACAGATTGTACTGAGCAACGGGTGTTAGAGAGCTGGAATGTTACGGGTAGACAGGGACTGGGAAGGGAAGGTGCCGAATAGCACCTGAGTGTGGGTGAAGGGAGAACGGGAGACGACAAGGAGGCAGCAGGTTCCGTGGGACCAGAGAAAAGCTGCCATTTGCGAGACCCTCTGTGCTCCACGCTCCGGTCGCCTGCACACGCAGCCCCTACTTGTTGCCCCACCTGGCAGCCTTCGAGTACACAGGTGTCGGGAGGAAGCGGCTGGACTTCATGTACGCAGAGATCTTCTTCAGGCCCTGAGGGTGGAAAAGGCAGGCCAGACATCAGGGTCGGCTGACCATCCACCCCGGGCTCCGCCACCCCACCCCAGACACCCGAGGTCCGGACCCCGGCTAGGCTTCCTTCCGGGGTCGAGCACTGGGGAGAGGACACCGTTCACGGGCTCCCCAGCTCTCCTAAGCGGACTCCCCAGTTTCCCCTAACGGACCTGAAATCTGAGCAAGAGTTACCACCTCGGAGGATCCACGCTGAGCTCGGTGCTTGATCTCCAGTACAGATTATCATGCGTGTTTAGAATCTCCATAGAAACCCCCACAGGGTGAGTTCTACCATCACCATCTATCACAAGGGCAACGGACGCACCCAGAGCTGAAGCTCCTTCCGCGTTGCCCACGGCTCATTGGTGAGAAGGGCTGGAAGGCAGCCTGGCTCTCTAATCCTTTCCTTTCTGAGGCACCTCCCTCCTCCCACACAGGGGCCAGGACCGCCCCCCCCCCCCCCCCCCCCCGCCCCGAGTCTGCATACACAGTGTGCCGTTGAGAGGGAGGCTCCTGGCCGCCCAGAGCCACCCAAGGAGGGACCCTGCGGGAACTAAAGGGCCCAGGATGTGCCTGTGCACCTTGCACACGAGGCCCCACCTCCCCCAGTGACTCAGCAAAACAGGGGTGAAAGCCGACAGGAGGGAATGGAGCGAGAAAGCCCGGCCAACCCAAATACACCAGCCAAACAGGAGAGTCCAGCTGCTTGGCCTGGGACCTAAGTCCACTCTCACTGGGCCCACCTACCCCATCCCCGCCCGCTGCGCCCGACCAGGCCTCACACACACAGCATGTGCGAGCGCCCTCGGCCCAAGACAGGGAGCGCGGGACATCCTACAGGGCTCAAAGGTCGCGGGGCTGCCTCTGACAAGGCCTGGCCCGGCCCAGCAGGCGGCCCACTGCAGCCCACAGCTGCCCCCAGCCCTCCCAGCCGGCCCCTCATCCCAGCCCCTGCTGACGTCCAAGGCTGACCACCCCGGACCGGAGCCAGAGCTCCTGAGAACTGGCTCACTAAGCAGGTCTCTGATGGGGATGGGAGAGGGCACAGGGGGGAGCCTGAGCAGCCCCTAGCCTCGTATCCCCTCCAATTCCCCAATCAGCCGCGCAGCGGACTCTGCTGATGCCCTGTGAGTTGACTGAGGGTGACGGGTGCAGGGCTGTGAGGCGAGGTCCAGGCCGCCCGCCCCCCAGCGCCCAGGGGGAACCACGGGACCGCACAGCGGGGGACTCCTGGGCCTCTCCAGCTGCATTAAGACCCAGGAGCGGGGCTCCACACCTGGGTCCCCTTTGCGTCCCGACATCTGTGTCTGACACCGTGTCTCCCTCATACAGAGACGGACAGGACAGTGAATAGGAAAGACAATAAAAGGGAAGTCCTAAACCCTCCACTGTTGTAAGAGCAATGTGTGTGAATTTGTCTCTACTGAAACAATGCTCTAAGCAATTGGGAGCAATGTGGTAAGAGTAAATCACCCAGTGCTGTTGCACAGAGCCGTTGACAGAGCCTGGCATACAGCCAGCGCTCAGTTAAGCTCCGTGAGCTGTAGGACTAGGGAGGCATCGGGCATGAGAGATGAGAGAGAAGAGGTAAAATGTAAGGGAACCGGTGAAATCACCTCAAAGCGGACCAAGAAGTCCTTCAGGTTCGGGAACGCATCCAGGCACTTGGGCTCGAACATACGCAGTACATCTAGGATGTCATAAGCCAGGAAGTCCACATAGGTGAGCTGCAGACACGACAGAATGAGTGGGTGCCAAACGCTGAACCAGGAAAATGTCACTTCCCGGCGCCAAAGCCAAAGCCTAAGCCTTCCCCTTACCTTGTCCCCTGCAAACCAAGACCTCTTCCCTAGGAACTGGGAGAACAGCTTCATCTTTTCAGGTAGCGCGTTCAAAAACTCAGGCTTCAGTTTCTCCTGAGGCGCAAAACAGCTGTCATCACCCTCAGAACAGACGCCCCGCACGCGAGGCAGGCTCCCTGGGCTGTTCCCGACCCCCACACCCCGCAGAGGAGCAGCCCTGGGCCCCAGTGCACTCGGGTCGGTGCCCAGGTTACAATTCAATCCAACCTGTGAGCATCCGACACCGGCTGGCGCTGACCGCCCACCTGTGCCAGGCAGCGGGGAAGGCAGAGGACACCACACTGTCCCCGAGCCCGTCTGCACCCATCTGCAAACACGCGCTCACGGCCCAGCCCCCGGAGCGCTGGGACTGCCTGGCGGAGCCCGCGACCCAGACGTCCGGCAGAACGAAAGGCGCCAAGAACTAAATCGTCCGAGGGGGAGAGAGGAGGTGTCCCCGCTCGAGGGTGACAGGTGGACACCGGAGCACTCTCTGGGACACGGGGAGAATCTGAGAGGCTGGGAGGAAGAGGGAGAGACACAGAGGCCCTGCAGGCGCCCCGCGCTGCACCCTGGGAGAATGGGCTGCCACCTGTGGGTGCCGGGGAGGCGGTACAGGGCTTTGGGATGTACTCCCTGTTAGGAACGGAGCTTCCAGCCTGGGGAGTCAGGACTCTGTGCTAAGGCTGACGAGAACTGCAACCCAGAATTCATTTCAGCCACTTGGGGGCTGTGTGGGTCACAGCGCTGACACTATCGGGACCCGCGTGGGGCACCAGAAGCTCCACGGAGTTCACACGGCGAACAGGACCAGCACAGAACACAAGTGTAGTCTCCTATCAAAATCTATCCACCTACATAGTCAGGACTATAGCAGATCCGGATGTTGTACATTCGGACATCCATAATCTCGTTCTCCAACATGTCCACGCGAATCTTCTCCTCCTCCGTCTCCCCACCTACAGCCACACGACAGAGACTCTCCCTCAGCACCCCACCCCTGCCAGCCCCGGGGCACGCTCCCCCCTAGGCCCCCGGCACTCCCCCAGCCTCACTCACACAGGTTGTGCTTGCGAGCAATGTAGCGAAGGATGGCGTTGCTCTGGGTGAGCTTGTGAGCCCCGTCGATCAGGTAGGGCAGCTGGAAACGCGACGCAGGGGGAGGTCAGCGGGCCACAGGCTCCCCCGGACCCCCTCCCGGCATTTGGGGCAGAGAGGAAACCTGGCCTTGGGCGCCTGGCCATGGTCGGCACTAAGCAAATACATCAGGAAGAAGGAGCTGGAACACCAGCATCCCCCGAAAGGAGTGCAGAGAACAGAATTCGAGGGGCTGCACTAGGGCCGGGACTGCGAAACCCCTGTGGAATTGGGGACGGAGACCTCAGCAGAGACAAGGTCACGCGCCCCTGTCCCCCGGCCCCTGCACCTACATTGGGGAAGTCCAGGCCCAGCTTGAACTTCTCGCTCAGCCACTGGCTTTTGTCAAAGTCCGGAGCTGCAGTGGAGAAAATGGGATGAAGGAAACACCCTCCCAGGCCGGCCCTCTTCCCTGGCGGCCAGGCCCTGAACACTGGAGTCTGGACTCTACCTCTCTGGCCCACGTGTCGGGGAAACAAGGCCGAAGGTCCAGGACCCACAGGGCGAAGGCTTCCATGAAGTGCGGACAAGCCCCAGGGGAAGCCCGCGCAGTCAACGACACAGGTGCCCAGCTGCCCAGCTGTCCCCTCTCCTGGGCTGTCTAGAAGCACCAGTCCACCCACCCTCAGGCAAACGGGGCGATAGAGGGGAACGACACGCGGCCTTGGCAAGGGTGCTTGGTCCCAAATCAGTAGGAGCGGGGTCCAAGTGGAAGGCGACATCGTTGCTCTTACCGTCCCCCATCGTGTACTTTTTCTCCCCGTAGCTGGAGTCTGTGTATTCCAGGAGCAAGCGGATGGCGTGACCTAGCTGCGAGGGACGGCCAGACAGCTGTTAGAGGTCCAGGGCCCGACTGCGGGACCCACTCGGCTAGCGAACCCCTCCCCCAACACACAGACACTCCAGTCCCCGCCCCCACCCCCCAGGAGCCCACTGGCTAGTGGCTCTGAGCAACACCCTTCGGGTAGAACCGCTAGGGCTGCGCACACTCCGCACTCCGGACCCCACCCGATCGCGCGCCCCTCGGACCCCTCGCTCACCCCGCGGATGTCCCAGTAACCCAAAGTCATGGCCATGGTGCTGGTTTTCGTGCCTTGAGCGCTTTCTTCCAGGCTAGGCTTGGATGCCGCGGTCTGTTCCAGACGAGCACAGGCACGGAGCTCAGGTTGGGGCAGCCTAAGTGTTGCTCTACCAAGTCTCCGCCCCTACGCCCCGCCCACAGCCCACTCCGAGACCCCGTGACTGAGGGGCGGTCCCATCCCCGAGCAGAAGTAAACAGCTCCTCTCTGCCTCTAGCTGCGCGCTTGAAGCTCCCAAGCTTCACCTGGGTTGACTAATCTGAGTCGTAAACAGCCAAGCCCCTCTCGCTCCCTCCCCTTCCGGGCACCGCTCTGCTTTGCCCCTGAGAAGCAGGGTTCCCAAGGACTCAGGGAGGCCCAGACTATCCCTTGAAGCCAACGGTGGACCCCTCAAATCGAGAGTGTCCATCCGCACCCATCAAGGGAAGTCCCGCCAGTCTGAAAGCTCCTCCAAGGCCTTGGAATGTCTCATGCCGCGTGCCTTCCAGCCCACGTTATCAGCGGGACAGGGGCACGCTGGGCCAGCGCAGGCAGGGGTGCCACGGTCTCAGCGTTCCCCTTCCCTGGACTTTAGAGGACCCAGCTCCTGTCATGTGTCTAGAGTGATAGGAATCAGATGCAAATTAATCAATTAGCGTTATGGTCCAAGTCCTCGATTAAAATGCAGAACCAGCTCCTGCAAAGACACTTGGTACTGAGGTGCAGCCCAGAAAACGGCCTGCCAGCCAGATGTCTTCTAGATGTTCCTGGTTTTGACCAGAACAGTGCAGGACCCTGGTGGTCTCATGGGGCGTGTGAGGGAAGGGGGAAGCTGTCCTCGGTGGGCCAGGCGCCTGTACTGATGCAGAGGGCCCCGGTCCGGGGGGTGGGCTGTCCAACAGGAGTCTGAGGGACGCCTCACAGGACCACCGCCAGTGTAGGCCCTGTGGACCGTCCTGTGCGGGTCCACGGGGGACACCCTGACCCTGGCCCCTGACACACCTGTGTTTGAGGTATGAGCGCGCGGCTCGATGGCCTTTGAAGTCACTCTGTGACCTGTGGCCTGAGGAACAACCTCCGAGAATACACCCTTCCTGCCAACTTCCACTCTGAGGGCAGAACATCCATGAAAACTAAGAGAACAGGACGCATTTGGGCTGTGATTATTTTCCTTTCTTTAAAGGATGTTCCATGGTTCGGTACCTCTGTGAAAACAGATGGCGGGGACCATTAGAAAACAAACGCGCTCACAAGTTAGAGGGCCATTCTCGCAGGCAGGGAGGTGGCCAGAGCCCAGGGCAGAGCTCTACAGGCCGGGGGTGCCGTCGGGCTCCTCAGAGCAGAGAAACCACTGCAAAGGAAGTTCTGTCTGCCGCGCTCTAATTTAGTGCAGTAAAGACAAAGTTAGGGACAGATTGCACTGAGCAATGGATGCTAGAGAGCTGGAAGGCCCCGGGTAGACGGGGACTGGGAAGGGAAGTCGCTGAACAGCACCTGAGTGTGGGTGAAGGGAGAACAGAAGACAACAAGGAAGCCGGTTCCAGGGGACCAGGGACAAGCCGCCATCCTCCAGGGCTCTCTGCTCCGCGCTCCGGTCGCCTGCACACGCAGCCCCTACTTGTTGCCCCACCTGGCAGGCTTGGTGTACACAGGTGTCGGGAGGAAGCGGCTGGACTTCATGTACGCAGAGATCTTCTTCAGGCCCTGAGGGTGGAAAAGGCAGGCCAGACATCAGGGTCGGCTGACCATCCACCCCGGGCTCCGCCACCCCACCCCAGACACCCCGAGGTCCGGACCCCGGCTAGGCTTCCTTCCGGGGTCGAGCACTGGGGAGAGGACACCGTTCACGGGCTCCCCAGCTCTCCTAAGCGGACTCCCCAGTTTCCCCTAACGGACCTGAAATCTGAGCAAGAGTTGCCACCTCGGAGGATCCACGCTGAGCTCGGTGCTTGATCTCCAGTACAGATTATCATGCGTGTTTAGAATCTCCATAGAAACCCCCACAGGGTGAGTTCTACCATCACCATCTATCACAGGGGCAACGGACGCACCCAGAGCTGAAGCTCCTTCCGCGTCGCCCACGGCTCATTGGTGAGAAGGGCTGGAAGGCAGCCTGGCTCTCTAATCCTTTCCTTTCTGAGGCACCTCCCTCCTCCCACACAGGAGGCTTGGACCCCCCTGAGTCTGCACACACAGTGTGCCGTTGAGAGGGAGGCTCCTGGCCGCCCAGGGCCACCCAAGGAGGGACCCTGTGGGAACAAAAGGGCCCAGGATGTGCCTGTGCACCTTGCACACGAGACCCCCCCTCCCCCAGTGACTCAGCAAAACAGGGGTGAAAGCCGACAGGAGGGAATGGAGCGAGAAAGCCCGGCCAACCCAAATACACCAGCCAAACAGGAGAGTCCAGCTGCTTGGCCTGGGACCTAAGTCCACTCTCACTGGGCCCACCTACCCCATACCCGCCCGCTGTGGCCGACCAGGCCTCACACACACAGCATGTGCGAGCGCCCTCGGCCCAAGACAGGGAGCCTGGGACATCCTACAGGGCTCAAAGGTCGCGGGGCTGCCTCTGACAACGCCTGGCCCGGCCCAGCAGGCGGCCCACTGCAGCCCACAGCTGCCCCCAGCCCTCCCAGCCGGCCCCTCATCCCAGCCCCTGCTGACGTCCAAGGCTGACCACCCCGGACCGGAGCCAGAGCTCCTGAGAACTGGCTCACTAAGCAGGTCTCTGATGGGGACGGGAGAGGGCACGGGGCGGAGCCTGAGCAGCCCCTAGCCTCGTATCGCCTCCAATTCCCCAATCAGCCGCGCAGCGGACTCTGCTGATGCCCTGTGAGTTGACTGAGGGTGACGGGTGCAGGGCTGTGAGGCGAGGTCCAGGCCGCCCGCCCCCAGCGCCCAGGAGGAACCACGGGACCGCACAGCGGGGGACTCCTGGGCCTCTCCAGCTGCATTAAGACCCAGGAGTGGGGCTCCACACCTGGGTCCCCTTTGCGTCCCGACATCTGTGTCTGACACCTTGTCTCATACAGAGAGGGGCAGGACAGTGAATACCACTGAAGTCAACGTACCGCCCCATCTCCGAGACAGAATGCTGAGTAATTGGAGAGAATGAGGAATGAGAGACAGGAAGGGAAGCAAAGTCCCACCACAGAAGATTCAGATAACATCCTTCTGGAGCGGAGCCCCCACATATACTCCGATCCTGGCACCCACCACCGCCCTGAAATCTCAATGCTGCCCAGGTGCAGCCCGGTTCTGCAGAGCTGTCTGGAGGCAGGGAGCAGACAGTGCCTGTGTCTTTAGTACCTCACCACTACTTTCGCTACATGCAAAGTCCTGGATGGTCTGCTTCTCCCCCAATGCATGGAGCTGTGACCCCAGGCTGGGGGACCTGTTCTCTTCTTTCAAGCACAGGAAAGGCAGAGCCACTGGCTGCTGCCCATAGAGGGCTACGCTGACTGGAAGCCCAGCTCAGCTTGGGTACTGGGACTGTGACCTTGAGAAAATGACTTACCCTTTCAGCCTCACTCATTATCTGTAAAAGGAAGGTCATAAATCTTCCACCTGGACCAATGTTGTAAGAGTAAAATCACCCAGTGTGTGCACAGTGCCGTTGACAGAGCCTGGCATACAGCCAGCGCTCAGTTAAGCTCCGTGAGCTGTAGGACTAGGGAGGCATCGGGCATGAGAGATGAGAGAGAAGAGGTAAAATGTAAGGGAACTGGTGGAATCACCTCAAAGCGGTCAAGGAAGTCCTTCAGGTTCGGGAACGCATCCAGGCACTTAGGCTCGAAAATGCGGTGCAGGTCGAGGATGTCATAAGCCAGGAAGTCCACATAAGTGAGCTGCAGACACGACAGAATGAGTGGGTGCCAAATGCTGAACCAGGAAAATGTCACTCCCTGGCGCCAAAGCCAAAGCCTAAGCCTTCCCCTTACCTTGTCCCCTGCAAACCAAGACCTATTCCCCAGGAACTGGGAGAACAGCTTCATCTTTTCAGGGAGCGCGTTCAAAAACTCAGGCTTCAGTTTCTCCTGAGGCGCAAAACAGCTGTCACCACCCTCAGAACAGACGCCCTGCACGCGAGGCAGGCTTCCCGGGTTGTTCCCGACCCCCACACCCCGCAGAGGAGCAGCCCTGGGCCCCAGTGCACTCGGGTCGGTGCCCGGGTTACAATTCAATCCAACCTGTGAGCATCCGACACTGGCTGGCGCTGACCGCCCACCTGTGCCAGGCAGCGGGGAAGGCAGAGGACACCACACTGTCCCCGAGCCCGTCTGCACCCATCTGCAAACACGCGCTCACGGCCCAGCCCCCGGAGCGCTGGGACTGCCTGGCGGAGCCCGCGACCCAGACGTCCGGCAGAACGAAAGGCGCCAAGAACTAAATCGTCCGAGGGGGAGAGAGGAGGTGTCCCCGCTCGAGGGTGACAGGTGGACACCGGAGCACTCTCTGGGACACGGGGAGAATCTGAGAGGCTGGGAGGAAGAGGGAGAGACACAGAGGCCCTGCGGGCGCCCCGCTCTGCCTCCTGGGAGAATGGGCTGCCACCTGTGGGTGCCGGGGAGGCGGTGCAGGGCTTTGGGATGTACTCCCTGTTAGGAATGGAGCTTCCAGCCTGGGGAGTCAGGACTCTGTGCTAAGGCTGACGAGAACTGCAACCCAGAATTCATTTCAGCCACTAGGGGCTGTGTGGGTCACAGCGCTGACACTATCGGGACCCGCGTGGGGCACTAGAAGCTCCACGGAGTTCACACGGCGAACAGGACCAGCACATGGGATACAACAGTGTCCAAACCCTGAGAAGGGCCTGAACAGCCCAGCTCAGCAAGAAGCGACTCACGTAGTCAGGGCTATAGCAGACCCCTGCCAACTGATTGGACGTGTCCATGGCCTCGTTCTCCAAAATGTCCACGCGAATCTTTTCCTCCTCCGTCTCCCCACCTACAGCCACAGGACAGAGACTCTCCCTCAGCACCCCACCCCTGCCAGCCCCGGGGCATGCCCGCCCCTAGGCCCCCGGCACTCCCCCAGCCTCACTCACACAGGTTGTGCTTGCGAGCGATGTAGCGAAGGATGGCGTTGCTCTGGGTGAGCTTGTGAGCCCCGTCGATCAGGTAGGGCAGCTGGAAGCGCGACGCAGGGGGAGGTCAGCGGGCCACAGGCTCCCCCGGACCCCCTCCCGGCATTTGGGGCAGAGAGGAAACCTGGCCTTGGGCACCTGGCCATGGTCGGCACCAAGCAAATACATCAGGAAGAAGGAGCTGGAACACCAGCATCCCCCGAAAGCAGCGCAGAGAACCGGGAATTCGAGGGGCTGCACTAGGGCCGGGACTGCGAAACCCCTGTGGAATTGGGGACGGAGACCTCAGCAGAGACAAGGTCACGCGCCCCTGTCCCCCGGCCCCTGCACCTACATTGGGGAAGTCCAGGCCCAGCTTGAACTTCTCGCTCAGCCACTGGCTTCTGTCAAAGTCCGGAGCTGCGGTGGAGAAAATGGGGTGAAGGAAACACCCTCCCAGGCCGGCCCTCTTCCCTGGCGGCCAGGCCCTGAACACTGGAGTCTGGAGTCTGGACACTACCTCTCTCGCCCACGTGTCGGGAAACAAGGACGAAGGTCCAGGACCCACAGGGCGAAGGCTTCCATGAAGTGCGGACAAGCCCCAGGGGAAGCCCGCGCAGCCACTCACACAGGCGCCCAGCAGTCCCCTCTCCTGGGCTACCTGGTAGCCCAGGGTCCACCCATAGAGGATTAAGGAAGGAGCCAGGCCCTGCTCCACGCTTTGCAGGGCGGCAGGTCAGCTCCAGGTATCCAAGGCGCGGGGACTTGGTATCCAATCAGCAGGCGGGGGCCGAAGTGGCACGTGACAGCTTTGTCCTTACCATCCCCCATTGTGTACCTCTTCTCTTCATAGCTGGAGTCCGTGTATTCCAGGAGCAGGCGGATGGCGTGAGCCAGCTGCGAGGGACGACCGGTCAGCTGTTAAGGGTCCAGGTGGCCCGACCCCAAGACCCGCTCTCCTAGGGGACCCCTCCCCCAACACACAGACACCCGTGCCTCCGCCCCGGAGGCGTCCTCGGGTCGCCGACTTAAGAAGGTCGGGGGCGGGGCTGGCTCGCCTCGGGCAGCCCTGAGCAAGGCCATTCCGGTAGGTCCGCCACAGCTGCCTGGCCTCTCCCCGCCCGCCGGTCCCATCCCACTCGCGTCCCCACGGAACCCTGCTCACCCCACGGATGTCCCAGTAACCCAAAGTCATGGCCATGATAAGAGTTTTTCGGCTTCAGGGCACAACAGCCAAACCCGCTTCTAAGTTCATCCAGGGCCTGCGCAGGGCGCAAAGGGGCCTAGTGGAAGCCACACCCCCCCTCTCTCTATACCCCGCCCCCCAGGACCCAATCTGCTGGAGCTCCGGGCGGCGCTGCACGCGAGGCTTCCCAGCGCGGCGTGTGGCCCCAGGGTCCGCGGGCATAGTGCTTGCTCGCCACCGAGCCGCGGGGCTTGGAGTACTGAGGTTGGGCGCCAGAACGCCCACGGCCGCCGGGCCGGGCTCGCGTGGGTGCCCCGGGCGGCTCCGCGGCCGGGCGGCAGCACTCTGACCTCTGGTGGCTAAGAGGGAGAGTCAGTGCTCCCGGCAGACAAAGCTGACAAATCCGAATCGCAAACAGCAAAGCCCCTCTTGCTCCCTCCCCCTCCAGGCACTGCTCTGCTTCGCCCTTGGGTAGCAGGGTTCCCAAGGACTCAGGGAGGCCCAGACTGTCCCTTGAAGCCAAACATCGGCCCCTCAAATCGAGTGTCCATCCGCACCTCTCGAGGGAAGTCCCGCCAGTCTGGAAGCTCCTCCAAGGCCTTGAAATGCCTGATGGCGATGTCCCTGAAGCGGGACAGGGACACCCGGGCCGGCGCAGGCAGGGGCGCCTTGGTCTCAGCGTTCCCCTTCCCTGGACTTTAGAGGACCCAGCTCCTAAGTCATGTGTCTAAGAGTGATAGGAATCAGATGCAAATTAATCAATTAGCGTTATGGTCCAAGTCCTCGATTAAAATGCAGAACCAGCTCCTGCAAAGACACTTGGTACTGAGGTGCAGCCCAGAAAACGGCCTGCCAGCCGGATGTCTTCTAGATGTTCCTGGTTTTGACCAGAACAGTGCAGGACCCTGGTGGTCTCATGGGGCGTGTGAGGGAAGGGGGAAGCTGTCCTCGGTGGGCCAGGCGCCTGTACTGATGCCGAGGGCACCGGTCGGGGGGTGGGCTGTCCAACAGGAGTCTGAGGGACGCCTCACAGGACCACCGCCAGTGTAGGCCCTGTGGACCGTCCTGTGCGGGTCCACGGGGGACACCCTGACCCTGGCCCCTGACACACCTGTTTGTGGTATGAGAGAGCGGCTCGGTGGCCTTTGAGGTCCCTGTGTGATCTGTGATCTCTGGTACAACCTGTATAAGAAAATGTCCTGGTCCCGGACACATAGCTCAGTTGCTCAGAACATCATCCTGATAGGCCAAGGTTGTGGGTTTGATCCCAGGTTAGGGCACATGCAAGAAGCAACCATGAATATATGAATAAATGGAACAATAAATCAACGTTTCTCTCTCTCTCTCTCTCCCCAGCCCGTTCTCTCTCTCTGAAAACATTGAAAAAAAGTCCTCTGTTGAGAATTTAAAAAATATAGAAAGATTTTTGGGGCAAAAAAACACATTTACAGAGTTCCTTAAGAACAGTACCATTAAAATGAGTGCCTGCCATTTTTAGACAGATAAGTAGAAATCCCCCAGGTTGAAAAACAGAATCAAGAACTTTTTTTTTTTTTTTTTTTGGAGGGCGAATAGTTAGAGACTTAGACCTCTGACAAGAAAAAGCTCTTATCTACTCAGAGAAGAAAATAGAAAATAACCAGAAATTATTTATAATCCATTGCAAGAGGCCTTTGTATCAAGCCCTTCTGGAAGATGAAGGTCCCTCAAGACTTCGGTCCTTGACTGCACTTCAACTTTACAGTTGACCAGGATCATTGGCAAGAAAACATGCTTTAAAAGCCTCTTTGGCAATACCTCTAATGTTACCCAACCCATGTTGTTTAATGTTGCTGCCCGTGAATCACTGTTCTTATGAGTGATATCATGAAACATTTTTGCTAATCTCCATTTGGAAATATTTGTTGGTAAAGCAACCCTTCTGAGAGCACCCAAAATCATCATTCTGCAACCTTTCCTACCTCTGCATTTTTCCACTTTCTAGTTTGCCAAATCAGGGGTTTAGGGGAAAAAATAGCCTCTTTGACTTCTTCCAGGGCCTCTCTCTTGTGTGCGACTACAGCAATGGTCTTAGTTCGCGTTCCTTGTGTAGCAGAGTGGTCAGCTAAAGCTTTCTGTCTTGTCGGATGCCCCGGCCACGTCGCTCAGCGGAGAGCATGCCATCGGGTAAACCAAGGTTGCAGCTTCCGTCCGTGACCGGGATGCTCCGGTATTAAAATAATGTTATATTATTTTATTATATTAATAAAATAAAATAAACATATAAATGTTTATAAATAACATTAAAATATAGTTCGCTTATCAGTATATTAAATAAAACAATATGTATCATACTAATTGACGATCTGAATAAACTTTCATCTTTTTCCTAAATAAACAGAAAATCACATCTTATTTTGCATGCATACCTGTATCTCACTGCAATTATTATATCCAGTACAATTAACCATCTCTACTAATTTTTATCTATAATTAGGGTAAGCAGTCTTGTCTTTTTTTCCTTTGGACACAGAAACTCAGAGGGAAGTTTAGAAGCTGGCCGGCTATTTATTCATCTCATGGTATGTCATTTAGAAAGGCCAAAACCAATAGACATGTATTATCATCCAAAGGTATTTGTCATCCAAAGGTGACAAAAAACATATTTTGTTACTCTACTGGCATTTTAAGAAATAAGAACAAATTAAAACGATGTTTAGTAACCATGTTTTTGTATCCTCCCCTCCCCTCTTGGAAACTATCATAGTTCCGTCTGCCTGGAATCAGGAGGTCTTGTCTGGTCCCTGATGGGTGATACCTGGTCTTTGACCATGTTCCAGAGACACAGGTCACCCAGAACATTCTATGAGTGATCATACTGGAGTCCTCATGGGGGCTTTGTGATCTGAACTTCACCCTCTCTAAGCCCGACACCCACTTTCTTCATTCTTTCCCACTATAGTGCTACTAGCTGCTGTGTATATTTTTCTACCTGGCCCATCTCACCTATGACAATCTGAAGTGACACTGCCACTTTTGCAGGGCAAATTGTTCATCTGAGAGGCACCTTAAAATGAAACAAACAAAAAACCCCAAATGTCCGAAAAGTCGGCTTTCTTTCATGGGTATTAGCCAGCATCTAAATGCAATTCAGACTTAAGACTTGCCTCGATGAAATATTCTTTAGCCATGAATACATAAATAAATGGAACGAAAAAGAAAACAAATTTCTTTAGCCAAAGCAATTACAAAACATGGCAAGTTGTCTCCTGAATCATCCCCCGAGACGTCAGTTGGAATGGGCCCCCACTGTTTATTTCGATGCCCTTTCCACTTTTTTGGTGACAGTTTAACACCAAAACATAAGCACTGACTGGCAAGGCGACCACTGCGGGGCCGTTAGCAGTTTAAAGACACTTTGAAGATCCCAAACCGCAGAGCTGTCAAGAGGAATCATCGGTGCCATTGGTCCGAGGAGGTCATTTTGTTTCATGCGGGAACATCCTTTCTTTGTTCGCACACTTGGGGGATTAATAAGCGCTTGCACTTGAGCCCTGGCTGCTGTGGTTCGGCTGGTTGGAGTGTAGTACCATAAACCGAAAGGTCGCGGGTTCAGTTTCAGGGCAGGACACACACCTGGGTTGCAGATTCAGCCCTAGGTCGGTGCACATACGAGAGGCGAGGGATTGATGTTTCTCTCACATATCAACGTTTCTCTCTGCCCGGCACCCCTCCCCTCTCTGAAAATGTGCTTGCACTTTATTCTTATGGCTGGTTTTTGTGTCCCAGGCAGGGCAGGGCCTCAGACCTGGGCTGGGGTGTCTCTCTTTAGTGGTACTCAAGCCCCCAGTCCAGACCTTCAGAGAAGTAATGGTCACACCTGTCAAATCTGAGTCTTTGGGGTCAGACTGTTACCAAATACCTTTATGGCTGTCTGCTGTGACAAAAGCCAATCCTCGTGAGACAGTTCTGCTGAAAAGGAAAGGGCAACCTGAGGAGATTGAGGACTCTTAGCCTAAAAACTATCTTAACATCTCTGGTCAAACGGTGGCTATTTTGAGAGGGAAGGGATATGGGGAAGTGTAGACGTGCAAGCAGTGTTCTTGCTGGTTCCGATATGGGTCTCGGCATCAGCCAAGTTCATGTGACCCATCAGCTCCTTTCTGGACAGGAACTGGAACTACTGGTCCCTGCAATGCACTCAAATAAAAACTAAAATGGAGGTTGTTAGCAAAAAAATTTTGTTTCTGTTTTTGTTCCAACAAACTCATCAGTTTGTTAGTACATTTAATTCTGGTTTGCACAATATTGTATAAAGATGATGTGCTTTTCATTCTCTGTTAGAAGGCCACACGTGAGGAGGGAGAGGGAAGTTTTCCCCAAAGGGGACAGACATCTGTTCTCACAACTGGCAGTCTGAGAGGTTTGTCTCAGGCTGGAGAGAAGGAGGGGAAGGGAAGCCATTGGACCTGGAATCTGAGGTACAGGGAGCCCCGAGGTCCATGTTCACAGAGACTGAGTCCACATCTCCCCATCGGGGTGCTCTGGGGCTCACCTGGAATTCTTCGTACAGTTTATGCCTGTGGCTGCTGACAGGACATGCCTCTAGGACACATAGCTCAGCTCAGCTCAGCTGCCTGATGTTGGGAGGTCAGTTTTCTCATCTGTAAAACGGGGTCAGCAACAGGCCCGACATCATGGGGTCGCTGTGAGGATTAGATGAGGTGAAGCAGTTGGGGCTGCAGGAACATGGTATTAGCTATGAAGATGATGACGATGGTGGCGTGGCGGAGTTTGTTTCCAGCCCCGTAAATGCTGCTGATGGGCAATGAGGGCTGGGGGCCCCAGCCCGGAGGAAAGATCTCCAAGGGGGGCACGGCACCGCCCCAGCCCGCCGGGCTCCAGCGACAGCAGAGAATGAGCCTGCGGTGGTGGTTAGGCCGTGCGGAAGGGGCACAGAGGGGGAGGGGCGGAGAGTAAAGCACCTGAACCAAGACAGAGAGATCCAGCCACACTGCCGGCCACTCCCTCCCTTCTCAGCTTGCCTCCTTCGTTTCTTTCCAAGTTCCTTCTCCCACGGGGCATGCCCCCTAGGATGCCAGGAGGAAGGGCCTGTTCAGACACCATCACGCCATTCCTCACATGCTTGCTAACCAGGCACAACACACTTGGAGAGTCCAGAAGGACTTTCTGATGGCATGTATATGCACAGGCCTTCCACCCTGGAAATCT